GAAGAGAGAGATTTCTTGACAATTAAATCAATGGAACAGCTCGTCTCCAGATGTTGTGGGTGCCCCATCACGGGAGGTTTTCAAGAAGAGACTGGGCAGCCATTTGCCCAGAATGGTATAAGGTCTCCTGTTTGAGCAGGGGGATGGACTAGAAGACCTCAAAGTCTTTCTATTATTCTATTATAATCGGCGGAACGGCTTGGCCTCCAGAAGCTGTGGGTGCTCCATCGTTGGAAGTTTTCAAGAAGAGATTGGACAACCATTTGTCTGGAATGGTGTAGGGTCTCCTGCTTGAGCAGGGGGTTGGACTAGAAGACCTCCAAGGTCCCTTCCAATTCTGTTATTCTGTTACACATATCATCTTGGATAAGGGGTCTGGAGGCTAAACCGTAAGATGAAAAGTTGCAGGAACTGGGTATGTCTAGCGTAATGAAGAGAAGAATTAGAGGCATATAATAGCAGTTGGAGTTGCCTCAGAGAAGAGGGGGGGTCAGCCTATTCTTCAAAGAATGAGTGGAAACTAACCAAGGAGAGAAGCAACCTAGAATTAAGGAGAAATTTCCTGACAGTGAAAAAAGATATTTGTAAAGTGATAGATTTTAAAATTGAAGTTTTGCTGGCTGGCCTTGTGGCTAATAGGAATTGAAAAATGTTAGTTTAGTTCATGTCTGGTTCGTACATACTGAACGCATTTCCCGAGATCAATATATCCATCCTTCATGCCTCAGATTTGTGCACTTTGCATACTTCCAAGCCAGAAGCTCATGTTGTAGGCAAATGGTGCAGAATGATAGCAAATGGCTTGGAGAATCCGTATACAGTATTAAGCAAGATTGACTCTGAATGAATGAGCATTATTTAATCTAGCCAACAGATGAAAAAGTGCATCTGAAAAGCTTATTTACCGGGGGGGGGGGAGAACGATGTCTAAAAATGCAAAGCGATTTTAATGGGAGTTTTATTTCTTTTTTTAAAATAACCACAAATGTGTGCAGGAGCCAGCTAATATGAACTTAAAGGCGGAGGAAGGAGGGAGTAAAAAGAGAAAAGTTAAATTAATAGACGTGTGTAAAACTCCTTGCTGGCTTCCAAGGAGTCACTGTGTAAAATGTGTGTAAAAACAGGGAGTAGAAGCTTTGTGGCAACAGCCTAATAAAATAGTCCTCGACTTTCTACAGTGTTGTCAAAGTTACACAACAACTGAAAAAAGTGACCTAGGACCTTTTTTTCACACTTACGACCGTGGCAGTATCCCCATTGATCAGTATAACCTGATCAAAATTCAACGGACTCACATTTATGACGGTTGTGGTGTGTCGCAGGGTCATGCAAACCCCTTTGGCGACCTGTCAAACAAAGTCAATTGGTAAACTAGATTCACTTAGTGACTTAACAACTGCAGCGATTGACATAACAGCTGTGCCAAGAAAGGTCGTAAAATGGGGCAAAATTCATTCCTGCTTAGCAATGGAACTTTTGCGCTGAATTGGGGTCGTAACTGCGAGGAGGGACATCTCTACTGAATTACTGCTTTTTACAAACTCAACCCTTGCCGAAAGCCATTGGAAGTGGAACATATGGCGGATCGGGACATATTACTGAGTGTCAAAACCTCTGATCAACAGTTGGCTTGCCGTGGATTCCATTGTTAACAACACAAAGCTTAAGGGTTAAGAGACCAAGGCTTTGTTCTCCTTGTGGCTTTGCCAGATCCCCGGTTGTCGCATAAAGTTGTCGTTCTTATCGCCTGGGCGCCCTCCGCCTGCTGGGCTTGGCAACCAGAGAGAGAAAGAGACAGATGGGTCTGAAGATCTACCAGCTGCCGGCTCCCATTCAAAACCCAATTCCCCCCCCACCTTTTTTTTTATTTTGTTGCTCCCCCTGGCTCTTGATGCAATAATCTCTTAATAACAAGAATTCCAGAATTGCTGCTAGGTTAAAAATCCCAAAGAGATTGGAAGGGAAGGGGAGAGGAGGGGAGGAGAAAGAGCGAGGGAAATGAAAGAATGGGAAGAAGGGAAGGGAAGGGAAGGAAAGGAAAGGAAAGGAAAGGAAAAAAGATAGGGAAGGGAAGGAAGAAGATGAAGGAAGGAAGGAAGGAAGGAAGGAAGGAAGGAAGGAAGGAAGGAAGGAAGGAAGGAAGGAAGGAGAGGAAAGGGAAGGAGGCAGAAAGAAAGAGAAAAAGGAAAGGAAAGGAAAAGAAAGAAGGAAAGGAAGAAAGATAGGGAAGGGAAGGAAGAAGATGAAGGAAGGAAGGAAGGAGAGGAAAGGGAAGGGAAGCAGAAAGAGAGAGAAAAGGGAAAGGAAAGGATGGAGGAATGAAGGAAAGGAAAACAAGATGAAGGAGGAAAGAGATGAAGGAAGAGGAAGGAAAGAAGAATGGCCAGGTGTAAACCAACAAAGAAATACAAAATCTCTGAAGCCCAACTAAAACCTTCCTTTTTTCCCCTCCCTCCCTCCCTTCCCCTTCCCCCCCTTCTTCCATGCAAGCCCTCCAACCCCAAAGTTTAAAGTGTGAACAGAATCCACAACTTTAAAATGAATCGTAAAGCAAATGCTGTCCGTCATCTTGCATACAAACAGATGCACCAACAACAGGCTCTTTCGCACAGGCATACACAGCCAAGGGAGGCGGATGTGGGGGGGGGGGGAGAGATGAGCTTCAGTGATGCTCAGATGCTCGGAAAAGTCAGAATTAACCCAGAGGAAGAGAAGAGCAAAGCAGGCCGAAGAAGCAGGGGAGCAAACAAGGCTGGGTCTTGGACTCCAATTACAGCATCTTTTTTTCTGCCGATTCATGGCAACCCCAAGCCACCCCTCGCTTTCCAGGGAGTTGCCAGGGATGACTTTGGAGCCAAGCGGCCTTTGCGTTGGGAAGCAATCAAAAGAGAAAGGAAGAAAAAAAAAACCAGCCCTGAGGTCTGGGAAAGAGCAGCCGATCGATCGCCCCGGAGAAGTACGAAGAGAGGCAGAAATGCAGAAATTTGAAACCTCCCGGTTGCTTAATTTAACTCAGCAGGGTCTTGGCTGTGCCAACTCTATTTCCTTCAGCTCCCTCCAAGGAGACGGGTGCAATCGGGTGAAGGGCACCTCACTCGGGAGGAAATTAACCCAACTATTTAGAGTCGGGTCCTGAAGGAGAAGAGCAGGCTGAACTGGAAGGTGGGGTTAAATGGGTCATCAGTTTGGAATCATCCCGTTGTCACTAAAGACCAAGTCCAGCCTCCCCTTGAATTCCTTTCTCTGGTGGCAATTTAGCTTTGACTGTTAGTTGACCAGATTCTCTAGAGTAGAGTAGAGTAGAGTAGAGTAGAGTAGAGTAGAGTAGAGTAGAGGAATAGAACAGAATAGACTAAGAATAGACTAGACTAACTAGACTAGACTAGACTAGAATAGAATAGACTAGAATAGAATAGAATTAGAACAGAACAGAATAGAATAGAATGCAGAAGAATAGAATTAGAGCAGAACAGAACAGAATAGAACAGATAGCAGTAATAAACTCTAGTCAACTACAAGTAGTCCTTGACTTATGGCCAGAACTGAGCCCAAAATTTCTGTTGCTAAGTGAGGCATTTGTTAAGTAAGTTTTGCCCTGTGTTACCACCTTCCTTGCCAGAGTTGTGAAGCGAATCGCTGCAGTTGTTGAGTTAGTAACCTGGTTAGTAAGTGAACCTGGTTCCCCAGATTGTCAGAGGGTCACAAAAGGAGGACCACATGACTCCGGGACACCTCGACCATCATAAATACAGGCCACTCGCCAACGGGTCTGAATTTAGACCAGGGATGCATCAATGGTTGTAGAGTGTGAAAAAGTCACTTTTCAATGCCGTTGTAACCTCGGTCACTAAAAAGAACCGTTGTAAGTCAAAATGCTCCTGTGATTTCAACCTGGCAGGTTTTAGGCTGGCTCTTTATCCTGTTTATACCCATTTTTCGTGCATTTGTGCAGCTTGTTCTGGGCAAGGCTACATCTCGGCTCTATCAAAACAATTTCTAAAAAAAAAAAAGAAGAAGAAGAAGTAGTGGGGGACAGGAAGAGGGAAAAGACCCCCCCTTTTTAAATCCCCGAACTGCTCCTTTTTCATGCTGGCACGGCTGGCCTGCCTTTATCCAATATCTGGTTCTTGTTATTTGATCGTCTCTGCGCTCTGTGTTTTCCCACTTACTGGCTATTAGCCGTAATCACTCTAAATTAATTAAGGCAGCTCCCTCCCTCGAAATCTGTGAATGGAATTGAAATTAATTGTCGGCAAATATCTTCGCTTCACTAGGAATTCCTGCCCGATCTTTTGTGGGTTATCTATTTATGCCTGGGAGGGAGACGTTTAATTATCTTCCAATGTTATATATGGGGTGCTGGGTCTCAGCCTGCTTTTGCTCAAATTTGATTCTGTGGAAGGATGCGGAAAGTGGTTTTTTGGGGGGGAATCCTTTAATCCCAGTCTCCTTCTCCCCCCCCCCATTAAATTTAAGCCTATTCTTCAAAGCACCCGAGGGCAGGACAAGAAATAATGCATGGAAACTTATCAGGGAAGTTCTAGCCAACTTCATGCGAAAAATTTCTGGGTCCAAAGCTCAAAAAAGGTGCACGTGCATGCATCTGTTGTTTTGTAATTGTTTCTTTTTTTTTAAATGTCCTTTCAGTTGTTTGTGGGGTTAAGTCAAAGGACAATAAATTAACTATTGTGGTTTATGTTGGACTAAAACAGGGGTCCCCAATCCCTGGTCTGTGGACCGGTACCAGGCCGTGGCACATCAGCAATCGATCCGCATAAACAAGCAAAGCCTCATCTGCGAGATGCAGGCAGCACACAAACCCACACACTCTCCAGTCTGCGGAAAAACCTCTCCACGGAAGCGGTCCCTGGTCCCCAAAAGGTTGGACTAGAAGACCCTTGAGGTCTCTTCCCACCCTATTGTTCCATGTCCGAAGCTCTTCCGATCTCTCCTTCCTTCTCCTCCTTTCATTCTCTTCCTTCTTCTTCTTCTTTTTCCAGGAAAACCCGTACTTGTGTAGCGACGAATGCGATGCTTCCAATCCGGATCTGGCCCACCCTCCCAAGCTGATGTTCGACAAAGAAGACGAAGGCCTGGCCACCTACTGGCAGAGCGTGACCTGGAGCCGTTACCCGAAGCCTCTGTTGGCCAACATCACATTGTCTTGGAACAAGAGCATTGAGTTGACCGACGATGTCGTCTTGACTTTTGAGTACGGCCGTCCCACCAAAATGATCTTGGAGAAGTCCGTGGACAACGGAAGGACTTGGCACCCCTACCAGTACTATGCGGATGAGTGCAACGAGGCGTTCGGCATGCCGGCGCGGAAGGTGAGGGAGCTGTCCGCCACCAGCGTCAACAGGGTCATCTGCACGGAGGAATACTCTCGTTGGGTTGGGTCCAAGAAAGAGAAGGAGGCTAGATTTGAAGTGAAGGACCGCTTCGCCATTTTTGCCGGGCCTGAACTTCGAAACATGGACAATCTTTACACCAGGCTGGAGAGCGCCAAGGGCCTTAAGGATTTCTTCACCGTGACAGACTTGAGGATACGGCTCTTGAAACCGGCGCTGGGGGGCACCTATGTCCAGAGGGAGAACTTGTACAAATACTTCTACGCAATCTCCAATATTGAAGTCACAGGCAGGTAATCGGAGTTCAGCTTTCCTTTTGGGGTTTTTTTCATTCTTTTGTCGCTGGCATCCAGGATGGAGACGCAAAGGTGCCAAAGTGTGTCTTGTTGATTCAGAACCATCAAACGGTTTTAGGGTTTTAAGGTGGGTTATGTTTCTTTGGTATCTTTTGCTTTAAACAACCCCCACCCCACCCCCCAAAAAAAACCCAACCTCCTTTTATTTGGTGGAAAAGAAATTGCTTTTGGTTGCTTTTTTTTTTTTTTTGCTAAAACAAACAAACAAAGAAACAAACATTTTGATGAAATTCTCCAGAGTGGAATGAAATGTTCTTATACGTACTTAGTGACAAGAAAGCCAAGAGGTGAATATGAATGATTCTTCTTTTGTTTGCAATTTTTTGCTTTGAGTTCCCTGGTTCAATCTCCCTTCCTTCCTTCCTTCCTTCCTTCCTTCCTTCCTTCCTTCCTTCCTTCCTTCCTTCCTTCCTTCCTTCCCTTTTCTTTTCTCAACCCTCCTTCTTTCTCTCTCTTTCTTTCTTTCTTTCTTCCTTCCTTTCCTTTCCTCTCAACCCTCCTTCCTTCTCTATTCTTTTTTCTTTTTTCCTTCCTTCTCTCCCTCTCACCCTCCCCTTTTCTCAACCCTCCTTCCGTCTTCTTCCTTCCTTCCTTCCTTCCTTCCTTCCTTCCCTTCCCCGTTCCTCTCAACCCTCCTTCCTTCTCTATTCTTTTTTCTTCCTTTCTTCCTTCTCTTCCTCCCTCCCTTTCCCCCCCTTGGAAAAACTCTCTTCTCCCTTGCAAGAAATGTCAAAACCAATTCTCTTTCCCTAAACAACATGAGAGCGGCAAAAAAACGATGCCAGACAATTGTTTTGCTGGGCACAAGCGAAAGTTTGCAGATTGTGAGTCTCTCCTTTAAAGGACAGGTTATTTTTATTCCTCCTTTCATCTCTCCTCCGATGCTAGCCCTTCCGTCCTGCCCCTATTGATCTAACAAGTAACAAAAGGAGCTGCCAGGCCCGGAACAGGAATGGAAACCTGAAAGTCTGTCTTTGGTGAGCAAGGGCTGGCACGTCACAGCAGAATGGAGGAATCCGAGGTGGTAGGAAGGAAAAACTAGTTTTATGGGATTGCTCTAGGTATGGGAGAGGAAGGAAGGAAGGAAGGAAGGAGAATGAGAGAGAGAGAAAGAGGAAGGAAGGAAGGAAGGAAGGAAGGAAGGAAGGAAGGAAGGAAGGAAGGAAGGAAGGAAGGAAGGAAGATCTTTTCAATCTCGTTTCTTCTCACTTTGCATATGGAGTGCCTGCATATGAAGCAGGAAAGATCAGAATAGACATCCTCCCTGGTCAATTTAATTTTCTCCTTTATTTAACAGCTGGCAGGTCTTGTAGTTGCCTGGATAGACAGAGTGAAATTGGAGTTAATGGCATGGGCATGAGCTGAAGGCTCCCATTATGTACAATCCAATTAAGGAGATGCATATAAATTACAGACTAATTATTAAGCTTTCTCACTTTGCCTAAAAATATTTGCCTGTTCTCTGTACCTTGGAATGTTTCCCCTCTTCATTTAATTCCTTCCTTCCTTCCTTCTCTTTCTCCTTCCTCTCTCCCTCCTTCCCTTGCTCCATACCGGTTGGGGAATTCTGGGAGTCGACGTCCACACATTTTAAGGTTGCCAGTAGTAGGAACGACCTCTTACATGTGGCATCATTTGCTACCAGGCTGGCACGGCAGAATAGCCTTCAAGGATAGATTTTCAAAGATCAATCGCTTCCCATAAATAGATTTATCTTAGAGCGTATTTGAAAATCTTCCCATAACTGCTGTGAATTAAATGCGGACTCTATTTATAGTGAGATCAATGTTCAGATTTTCACGCTGCTATCTTCTGCTCATGTGATGAAGTGGGCTGGACGCCAATCTCCTTTGGGTGGGCACAACAGTTTCCATCTGTCTCTTGCTCTGATAGTGGGCTGGCTTGATATCATGCTTTTTTTTTTACTTTGGACCATGGGAAAGGAAGCTCTCACAAATTCAGGACAGGAAAAAGGGGGAAGGAAGTTAGGAAGGAAGGGAGGGAGGGAGGAACAGTGGAACAACCTGCCTCCAGAAGCAGTGAATGCTCCAACACTGGAAGTTTTTAAGAAGAGACTGGACAGCCATTTGTCCGAAATGGTATAGGGTTTCCTGCCTGAGCAGGGGGTTGGACTAGATGACCTCCAAGGTACCTTCCAACTGTATCATTATTATTATTATTATTATTACATGACCAGCTCTCCTCCTTAATGTGCAACAATCCGAACGTGACCCGTTTCTCCAGATGTGACTTGAGAGAGGCAGCTCAGGTATTAAGCGACAAGTCCCAAATCTTATTAAGATTCTGACACAAGCCTGAGTTTGAACCGTGACAAGGGAAAAAAGAAAGGAAAAGAAAAATGAGTTAATATTTTATCTCTTATACACCCTGGAAAACACAGAGTCGTTTTGTTTAATCTTATTTGCTGGTTATGTGTGATACTTCCTCTCTCCCCCCCTCCCATGTAATCTTTGCTAGCGATCTGTTGGGGGGGGAAAATTGATTATACTTTGTTCTCGGAACAAACTAGATAGGTTGCAAAGGGATCAACTTTGAGTGTTAACAGACCCCCGTGCAAGGGCTTGCAAGCGGTTCCGCCAGGAATAGTCTGATGGTTACTTAAATATGCATTGATTATTTGATTTGGAACAGCAATTATCTGGGTAAGAGGCGGGTGACTCCAAAGGAACTTGTCAAGTGCAGGGAGATAATGGAACAGCTGAAGAAGGGGACAGCTCAATGAGATGGAACAAAATCGGTTAAGGGAGGGAGGGGGGAGGGACATCCAGACCAACTTTCTCTGATTGTGCATTCTTCACACAAGCTCCAGATTAGGGATGCTTGAGTTGAAATTAAGGAGGCCAGACCTGAGGCAAGAGAAGGCAGAACTTCATTCAGGACTAGAGGGTTGACGGTTTCAGCCAGAGATGATCAACTGAGATGGGGTCAATGGTAGCAGTCAACAATATTGGAACTGGATTTGGGGGCTACAGCCTTTGTTGGCTGGGATGTGGCCTCCAAATTCCACAATATGGGGTGGCCGGTACAGTGTGATCAATTCAATCTTGGTTCTCTAAGATCTCATGAGGTTTTGGACCTCACGCTTGATTGTCATTCCAGAGAGGTCCTTCAGTTTAAAGTTCCTTGCCATTCGTCCATCTGTCCATCCATCCATCCCATTCATCTTCTCATCATATGTCCATCCGTCCGTCTGTCCATCCATCCATCCATCTTAGTTGCTTTCCTTGTGGGTCAACATGTTATTGCTTCAAACGGTCCAAACAAAGTTGTTTGTATGTGTTTCCCTTTACACCGTTTCTTGGAAATACAATAAAACTTAGATTTTTCCAGATTCAGCAGACTTTGGATGTAATGGATGTGATTTTTAGTTTGGAATTAAATCCCAAACAGGCAAAGTCCGTTGTCTACAAAACAATCTGGTAACACTGACATGGTTGTTCTCTATATAAATGTACATCATTTGCATAACTATGCAATGACTTAATTAAATATTTTGTGTAATTAGAAAACAGACATAAACACGTCAATTGTGTAATTACAAAATGGTGCAATTTTGCAAATGGCATAAATTTTGTCAATCCTCCCGCCCCAAATTGTTGATTAAAGAAAGATTTCATTGAATTTCTATACATTTCGTCTTCTGTGGATCACCTGTTTCTCCTCTTGCTTTGAGCGTTTCTCGGGATTTTGACCCCATTGTGGCGACATCAATTTGCTGTTCCTATAATTTGCTGTTAATGAATTTGCTGTTAATGAATTATTTGCTTGCCTGCCTAACTTTTTAGCTTACTGACTTCATTCTTTAGTTTAAATCTGGCTGTCTAGGAAGGCAGGAAATTGTGACATCTACTCCACACACACAACACACATCTGTCATCAAAAAACACAATTTCAAGGATACATGTAGCTATTTCAAACATGGCTGATCTCCTCTTCCTTAGAGAATAACAGAATAACAGAGCTGGAAAGGTTTTTTTCGAGGTCTTCTACAGTCTCAGAGAGTTTTTATAATATTGCATCATTTCCTTGAGGCTGGTGGGGGTCCCAAGGCCTTCTGCCAAATTAGAAAAAAAACAACAACTTTAACTCGGTTTTCCTAAACGCATCTCTAAACTGCAAAGACTTGTAAAGTTTGCTCACTCTTTCCTGAACCTCTAGGATTGCATTGGCTTTTTTGGCTGCTGCCCCACATTGCTGGCTCATATTTAAGTGATTGTTCACTAGGACTCCCAGATCCCAGGTTTCATCTAATCTGTCCCTTGTAGTTTTCAGACAAATCCTGGCTTGATTTCCTTAAGAGTTTGTGCCTTCATTCAAATGCAGATTCTGGCTTTGGATGTTCTGCTCTTTAATGACTTGTGAATGCTTTTCTATTTTAATATTTCTGTGATGCCAGTGCAAGGCGCTTTGAGGATTCAGCTCAAAAGAGTCTGGCATACATTTTTAAATACCTCTGCAGATAGCCCAGAGGATCACACCCTCGTTGCTCTCTTGTTTCCCCCTGCAGGTGTAAATGTAATCTCCATGCCAACCAGTGCATTTTCAAGGAAGGAAGTCTCCAGTGTGAATGTGAACATAACACAACGGGACAGGACTGTGGCAGATGCAAGAAGAATTTTCGGAGCAAATCCTGGAGAGCTGGATCCTACCTTCCCCGCCCCAACGGTTCTCCTAACGTGTGTAAGTATGGCAGGCAAGACTGCTGTGAGTTGAAGCCCACCCCCAGAAGGAGAAGCATCATCTCCTTGAGATGTAGCATCTTCTCAACTACCAGTTCCATGGGAAGCCTGCAGAGATGGAGATAGGGAAGTAACATCGTGAATAAATCAAAGTAGAGAAGTCTAGAACAGGACTTGTCTGAAAATGGTCCATTGAAACCATCAGCAGACAGAACGGTTGGTCAATTCCATGTGTGCGTCAATTTCTATTAATGCTCAAAGCGGGGGAATTAATCTTCAAAATTGTGGGATTCATCTCTCCCATTAGAACAGGGTCTCCAAACGAAGCAACTTTAAGATTTGCGGACTTCAGCTCCCAGAATTCCCCAGCCAGCATGGCCAATTTTAAGACTTGTGGACTTCAACTTGAACTTTAGCTTAGAATTTGTGGAGTTGGTCCACAAGTCTTAAAGCTGCAAGTTTGGAGACCCTTGCACTAGAGAAAAAAATGAAGCAAGATTCCAAAATAGATCTGTTGCTAAGTTACCTCCCTGTCTGTTCCCAGTGAGGGAACAATAGATACAGGGATCCTGAAACACTTTCTCTACAACTGGATGGATGGATGGATGGATGGATGGATGGATGGATGGATGGACGGACTGACGGATGGGGTCAGATAATAGAATTATTCCTTGGAGGTCTTCTAGTCCAACCCCCTACTCAAGTAGGAGACCCTATACCGTTTCAGACAAATGTCTCTTTTTAAAAGCCTCCAGTGATGGAGCACTCACAACTTCTGGAGGCAGGCTGTTCCACTGGCTAATTGTTCTCACTGTCAGAAAAGTTCTCCTTAGTTCTAGGTTGCTTCTCTCCTTGAATTGGACAAGAAAGCAACGGGTGGAAACTCATCAAGGAGAGGAGCAATCTAGAACTAAGGAGAAATTTCTTGACAGTGAGAATAATCGATCAGTGGAATGACTTGCCTCCAGAGGTTGTGGATGCTCCATCATTGGAGGCTTTGAAGAACGGATGGGACAACCATTTGTCTGCAATGGTGCAGGGTTTCCTGCCTGTGCAGGGGGTTGGACTAGAAGACCGCCAAGGTCCCTTCCAACTTTGTTATTCTTAATAATCGCCATCCATTGTTTCTTGCCCTGCCTTCGGGTGCGTTGGAGAATAGGTCGACCCCCTCTTCTTTGCGGCAGCCCCATAGATGCAGTCTTTTAATTTATTTATTTTTTACATGTTTATGCCACTCTGCCCTACAGGCTGAATCTGGGCGGCATAATTAACATCCCATTTGGCTTCCTTCCTATCCTTGTTGACCATCTCCTTCTCCTTGTTCTTCTCTTCCAGGTGCAGCTCCAAATTTTGGCAGTAAGTAAAACAACACAATTTTTTTTTAAAAAAAAAAAACAACAAAGCCATCAACCAAAGTTGAAATGCCGAGATGCTTGCTAGCACAGTCCCAGCGGATGCTGTTTGATGGCAAAAAGGAGCTCGTTTTTTTTTTTATCCCCTTTTTTTTTTTTTTTTGCTCTCTGTTAACATCTGTCCAAGCATAAGTCTGCTTCTCTAATTGTGCCTCGTTTTCCCGCCTGTCAAACATCTTTCTTTGAGTTCAGTCCGAAACCTCATTGTCTCTGTCATGCCGGTGTGTTCTTTTCTCCCCACGAGGTTTGTTAGTAAGGCGGCGAGGAAGGAAATAAAGAGTTTTTTCAAAGAATGCCAGGGAGGAATGGAGTGAGGGCTGTTTTCCCCCTTCTCCGGCTTAAAAGTCTTGCAGGCAGTAAATTAAACTCTTTGTAAATCAGAGGGATTGCTTTCGATGGCTGATGTCATCAGCCACTTTTGCTAGGCAGGAGGGGTGTGATTGTCCTCCCTAATAATTAACCGGTGGAACAGCTTGCCTCCAGAAGTTGCGGGTCCTTCCTCACGGGAGGTTTTCAAGAAGAGATTGGACAGCCATTTGTCTGGAGTAGGATAGGGTGTCCCGCTTGAGCAGGGGGCTGGACTAGAAGACCTCCCAGGTTCCTTCCAGCTCTACTCTGATTCTGATACTTAGGAATGAATCTGCAGCAAGATGCGGCTAGTCCTCAATTTACATCCGTAATGACGCCTGGCGAAATCGTAAGGCAGGTTCCATTGACTGAACTTTCTTGATCGTTAAGAGATTTCAGTTATCCAAATATTAGGGTGTTAATATTCTCCAGTCAATACTGCATAAGTGCCACTCTACTCAAATCATTATCCTCAGGATAACAGGCGGGGGATCTGAACACAGGCAGTCCTTGACTTGAAACGGTTCCTTTAGTGACCGTTCCAAATTGGAAGAGCACTGGAAAAAGGGATTTGGGACCATTTTTCACGCTTAACGACCATTGCAGCCTCTCCAGGGTCAGGTGAGCAAAATTCAGACACTGGGCAACTGCTTCACATTTACGATGGTCCAGCGTCCCGGGGAGAGTGGGGAGTCATGTGATCCCCTTTTGCGACCAAGCCAATGGGAAAGTCATTCATTTAATGACCGTGTTCCTAACTTAACAAGTCCAGCGGTTCCCTTAACAACTGGGGCAAGAAAAGTCGTAAAACACACACACACACACACAGCCCTTGCAGCAATTGAAAAGGACAGACACACAATCTCGGAGAGACACCAGGAATAAATTTGCAGAGCGGGGAATAAAATTCCCATCTGACTTCAGACCTAGCTCTGACATTACTTAATTAAACGATTTGCAGAAATTGTCTCAAAATCAGCCTTCTCAATTTGTGTCCTTCCTGGTGGAAGAATTTGGCATGGATATAAAGCCTGTCATTCCTTGTGTTTTTTTTTTTAATGTATAGGTAGTCCTTGACCGCAAAGGAGCCCAAATTTTCTGTCGCTAAGCGAGACAGTCAAGTGACTTTTGCCCCATTTTACGACTTTTCTTGACACAGTTGGTAAGTGAATCGCTGCCAATGTTAAGTTAGGAATACGGTCGTTAAATGTCTTCCCCCATTGACTTTGCTCGGCCCAAGGTCGCAAAAGGGGATCACGTGATCTGGCAACGGTCATAAACACGAGCCGGTTGCCGAGCGTCTGAATGTCAATCACGTGACCGCGGGTTGTAAGTCTGAAAAACGGTCACAAATCCCTTATTTCCAGCGCCGTCGTAACTTTGAACAGTCACCAAACAAACTGGGTTAAGTTGAGAGTGTTTCTCGTGCTTTTCTCCGCTCCCTTTAAAAAAAACAGCAGCAAAGTTTTAACCGAGTTGACTTGAGGATGCATTTCCACTAAATTTTTTTAATTGGCTGTAGAAAATAATTTGATTGCTGGGGGGAAGGCAATGAGAGGGAAATAGATGTCTTCCATCACATTCTAAGTTTTGTTTCGCTTCCAATGTGGCTTGCGAAAAAAAGGCCCGACTGACTAGGTGGAGGCGATACATTAAATCCTTAGCACCATCACATTAATTTGCAAATTACGCGGCTGGAAATTACACGGATCCGTAAGGCCCAGAGGAAAACCAATGTCGAGGCTGACAGTAACGGAGCGATGTGAATATCTGAACGCTCCCATTGACTCAATGAAACTTTAATTTATCGGAGCTTTCAAACTAATTTGACAAATTGAGGAAGCCGTTCAATTTCTCTCCTCTCATCTGAGGCGCCCAAAGTCATTCAGGCCCATTTGGACGGGCGCCCAGACGTATTTTGCAACCATTTTTAAAGGGCTCGGTTTGAATCCCATCCCGTCTGATTTAGTTTGAATTGGATTCAATCGATCCGTTTTCCAAATCCATCTGAGACCGTTTGGATGGAACGGGGCTCAGTTTGAACAGCTGAAGAATTTCAAGGGGTGCTTTTCATTCACAGAGCGAGCTTTCACTGAAAGGGATTGCCCGGTAAATTTAGATTTCTTTGATTAAATTCAAGAAGCGATCCAAAGTTAGCCACATGGCTGTTAAATGAGTCTGTTTCCCCAATGACTGATTGTCGGAAAGTCACAAAATGGGGATCCCGTGGCACACACACACACACACACACACACACACACACCAGGGGACACTGCGACCATCCTAAATATGAGCCAACTGTCCAGCGGCCAAATTTTAATCACGTGATTGTGGCAGGGAGGCTGCGGCAGTCGTAAGTGTGAAAAAACGGCCCTAAGTCGTTTTTTTTTCGTGCCCTCGTCACTTTGAACGGTCACTAAACGAATTGTTATAAGTCAAAGACTACCTGTGGTGGATTAATAGATAGATGAATGGACCAAGTTCCCAAGGCCGCAGTGCCTGCTTACATCTGTGAAGTCACTTAAGGTATTGGCATCTGATTTCTTTCCGGTTTTTTTCTCCGCCATCCTTATTTTTCTCTTGATAGCAAAGGAGCAAGCCAGGCCAGTAACGAATCGACAAATTGTCGTTCTTACAACTACAATTTCCGAAGCCACGATTAGTACCACCAATACAATGAAAAGCTCTTGGGTGCCCACCACTCCCCTCCTTACAACACAGCAGCCAGGTGGGTGCTCCCCGTAGTTAGTCCCACCCATCCTAACTTGCTGAGATAGCCGTAGTTAGACCTAGCTCTCCGCTTCTCTTCCCAGCTTTGGCTTCCTGATGCCTTGATGTACGTCGGTGACAGGTAAGGTAGGGAGATGCTCACCTCCCTGGCTTGCTAGTGTCTTCCCTCCTCGTAGGGGAGAGATGGGGAGCCCAGGTAAAAAATCACACTGTTCACTGGCGCAGGGCTTCCCATTTGTCAGCGGGAAAGCTTGTGTGTTTGCCCAGCTAATTAATGAAGGGAAGATCATCAGTGGGACAGACCTCATTAATAACAGCCCCCACCTTTCCCTGCTGAGTAGCAGGTGCACGATTCTCCGAAAAAGTCTTTATAAGCAGTGGAAGAAAGGAGATTAGATAGATAGATAGATAGATAGATAGATAGATAGATAGATAGATAGACAGACAGACAGACAGACAGATAGAGATAATATAGATGGATGGATAGAGAGATAGAGAGATGGATAGAAAAATAGATAGATAAATTCAGTAGATAGATAGACATAGATAGATAGATAGATAGACAGACCTAGATGATATAGATCTAGATGATAGATAGATAGATAGATAGATAGATCTAGATGATATAGATAGATAGATAGATAGACAGACAGACAGACAGACAGACAGACAGACAGACAGTGGATGAGTGGATCGTGATCAGTTGGTCTTTTGATAACTGGAACTCTTGTGATTAGCCAAGGTCAAAAATGGTAGCAATTTTGAGAGCTTGCCTATCACCCGCTCACTAATTCCCAAAGGTGTCATCCAACTTCCAAAATAGATGGGACAAGTCTTCCCTGCTGTAATTCTTCTGAGTGATTGGGGACAAAAAAAATGTTCATCCAACTCACGCAATGACATCTGATGGTCAAATTGCTCTCCATCAGTATGTAGCATTCTGATTATTCAAAAAGGAGAGGAGAAAAGAAAGAAGAAAGAAGAAGAAGCATAGACTTGGTTGAATACGTTATTTATAAAATCTGTTTCCCCCAGAGATGCCTTTTTCTGAAATAACACACACTAGATCAGGCTAGCAGCTGTTTTCCAAAGCTTCCGAAGGAAGGCAAAAATATAAAAACCAACACATAAATTACAGCTCAATCAATAAAATTAATCCTTAACTCTGTTTTCACCTCAACTTCAGTGGTTATAAAAATGGCCCCTGCCCATTAATCATCTGAAGTGGAATCGACTTATCTACCAGCTAAAGGAGTTACATCTTGCAAGACCCATTAAGTTGCAGGAATTGGCTTCAATATTGCATGCAAATTAGTTTTGATAGATTATGTGCCATCGGGTTGATACTGTGTCTCAGTAACCACAGAGATAGATTTTCATCAGGATGATCTGTCCCTAACTGGTCTATCACATCTTCCTCTGGCATAGCCATCACAACTTCTCTACTGCTGGTTGTCCTCTTCTCCTTCCTTCCATCTAGTTTCTGGTTGTCTTCCTCCTCCTCCTCCTTCCCTTCCATCTTTCCGAGCGTCACTGCTTTCTCCAGAGGGGAGAGTTTTCATATAATGTGTTCATAATTGGATAATTTAAGCCTGGTCATTTGTGCTTCAGACAAAAACTCTGGGCTGGTTTGTTCGATGAACCATTAGTTTGCTGTTTTGGCTGTCCAGAGTCTTCTCAGGAGTCCTCTCCAACTTTCAAAAACCATCTGTTGTCTTCTGATCATCTTCAAAACATAACTTCTGCTTCTATGGAGTGTCTAGGACTGCATTGGGTTTGGGGGCAGCTGTAGCACACTGCTGGCTCATATGAGTTGATACCTTTCACTGAGGAAGGAGCAGGGCCCCTTGAATGTGCTACTCCTATTTGGATAAAAATGTGGCCTCTTCTACGCCAAATCTTCACAGACTTTGCTTTCTACTTTTTGTTTCCCAACCTTTATGGCTGTTGAGATAGCTGATCCCTTTCCTTCCCTCTCATCGATGTGATATAAAAACCATCCATAAATGTCTACGGGATTCCTGGCTTGGCAGCTCAGGGCTAAGTGAATTAATAAGGCTTTTCCCTCTCTCTGTACAAGCTGAACTGGGGAAGGTGTATATGCAAAAAAGCAAAATGCCTTCAGGGCAGCTTCTTTTATTGTGACTCTAATTAAGCCCTTGCCAATTTGCACTGGGCCATCTTCCTATTCTAGTTGAAAGCCCTATTAATATGTGTGTTGCCGTTTCCATTTATCCGTTCTTTAAAATACGGCTTAAAAGGAGGAGGAGGAGGAGGAGGAGGCGGAGAAGATGGGAGGAGGAGGAGGAGGAGGAGGAAGAAGAAGAAGAAGAAGAAGAAGAAGAAGAAGAAGAAGAAGAAGAAGAAGAAGAAGAAGAAGAAGAAGAAGAAGAAGAAGAAGAAGAAGAAGAAGAAGAAGAAGAAGAAGAAGAAGAAGAAGAAGAAGAAGAAGACGAAGAAGAAGAAGAAGAAGAAGAAGAAGAAGAAGAAGAAGAAGAAGAAGAAGAAGAAGAAGAAGAAGAAGAAGAAGAAGGAGGAGGTTATTCTGGGTAAATGACTTGGACCGAATTATCCTTTTAATTACAATCGATCTAGCATGGATTTCTCTAATCAAGCATTGGCCAAGATCTCAGCCTCTATTTCCCAGGATTCTTAAGGGGCCCTGAGGGATCATGGGAGATGGAGATAGAGTCATTGCCGCATCATTCGCAGGACTTCAGAAGTAGTGGTAGACCCCAAAGATGGTGCTAAGAAGTGATGAGACTGTTCTTGGTTCAACTGCTTGGATGTTTTGAGAAGACATGGAAAAGGATGCTTCCTCCATCACAATGTTTCCCACAAAGGAAAGCAAAGTGATGTGTAGGCTAGGAGCAGTTTGGCATGTGGATTGAGTCTCTTTGTGCAGTGTTTGTGTTGTGCTGATAGATATGGCTTCCATGATAACAAGGAGACCTTGAATGCCTTGGGGAATGTCAAATTGTCTGCATGCATTAGGAAACGAGTTTGTTCTGGATGGGGATCAGTATAGTACCAGTTTAAATGAAGCTGTACAATGGTGTTGAAGTGCTTGATTCAGGGGTCTCCCAAACTTGACAACTTTAAACTTGTGGACTTCAACTCCCAGAATTCATCAGTCAGCCAGTTGTAAGTCACTTTTTTCAGCGCCACTGTAGCGTCAAATAGTCATTAAACGAACGATATGTAAGTCAAAAACCACCTGTATTCAGGTATAGCTTCCAGATTGGGATTGCAAATGTCCAGTAGGGGGCAGCAGGGAAATATAAAACGCTGCCCTCTAGCGGTTGGTAGGAATTGTGCAGGTCAGATGGGACTGTCTTCATTAAACTAAACACATCTATATTTAGCCTTGTTCTAACCTATCGCTCCCGTGTTTTCAACTCATGAGTGATGGAGAAGATGAAAAGGAGAAACATGGCTGCAACAGCCAGGTGTTCAAATTGCAGGCAAATATGCTTTATTTAGAAGCAATTTCACAAGGAGCCATCTCAGAACATGCTCGGAGCGATCCAAAGGCAGATGTAATTGAGCACCTTGGCATCTTGGTTTGACACACTCAAACCTAATTAGACGATCCTTTGAATTTTTAACCTGCTTTCTTCTCCTGCATGGAGCTGTTTCCCAAATCCCCTGGGATAGGCAGGTGGGTGGTGGGTGGGTGGTTAAGATAATGGCAGTCAGGGTCCCCGCATTGTGGAAAAAAATGATCCTCTTCAAAGACCACCTGCAGAGCGAGGCTACCTCCTCACCACCCTACCTTTAAATGAAATGTTAAATCAATAGAAACCTTTTTAAGGTTTAGAATAGAACAGAATAGAGTAGAACAGAACAGAAAATTAGACTAGATTAGACTAGACTAGAACAGAACAGAAAATAGAATAAAGAGTAGAGTAGAGTAGAACAGAACAGAACATAGAATAGAATAGAAAATAGCCTAGCCTAGCCTAGAATAGAATAGAACAGAATAGAGTAGAACAGAACAGAAAATTAGACTAGATTGGACTAGACTAGAACAGAATAGAAAATAGAATAAAGAAGAGTAGAGTAGAGTAGAGTAGAGTAGAGAACAGAATAGAGAACAGAATATGGAATAAATTCCTTTAACCCTGGCCAAAAAAAGCTGGTAAAATCCGGCGTGAGCCACTTCACAACTGCTTTGTTTAGCAACCAAAATTCTAATCCCAACAATGACGATAAACCAAGGATTAACTGGATCCAGTTTTCCATCCAGTCCACTCAGCCCAGCTTTGTGGGTTCAGGAGACCCGCCGGATCCAACTTGCTTTCCTCAGCCTGGGAGGAGAGTTAGGTGTCCCTGTCTTTACCGGCTGCCAGGAGAGTCACTGTTTCCACCACACAATTCTGTTTTTCCACCCACGCTCTGGGACCTGCTACTGACCCTCGGCTGGGGCACATGGTTTACATGCTGTCTCCTTCAGAGGCTTTAGAACAGGACCGCTGGCGGCGCATCTCCAGGGAGGAGAAAAAAAAAGCTGTCGGGTGTAGATCACTGGGTGATCAAAAAAGGATGCTGAGGCAGAGATTGGCAGGGACGGTATGCTGGGCAGTGGTGCCCAAGGAGTTACGCTCCTTTCTTCTTCCCTCCTACGAACTGTATCTTGCAGCACACGCCTGTTCTAAGCTTGCCAGGCAGCAGACAGCTCTTGAACCCGCCTCCCAGCTGCCTGATGCTTTCATTCCTTCTGATCTTAGAGTCAACTTGAAAGGAGGACGGGAGTTGCAAGGCGTTTTGATGTCCAAAAGGAGAGGCAGGTGCCCTTGGATGGCTTGGTGGGGTTTCTTAACCAGGAAGGGGAGGGCGGGCACAGGAGCCAGAAAGCTGGCAGCCCGGCCAACTTCTCCATCTGCTCAAATTTCCAACTTCAAGGATCTTGAGGAGGTTCAGTCAATGTCACGCTTGGCATCTAGGTGGTCGTAAAATCTCGACTCCCGCTTTGAGATGGTCCAAGTAAGGGGGATTTAGTCGCACACAATTCTGGCCTGCTGAGTGGATGGGTGGGAGGGAGGGAAGGAAGGAAGGAAGGAAGGAAGGAAGGAAGGAAGGAAGGAAGGAAGGAAGGAAGGAAGGAAGGAAGGAAGGAAGGAAGGAAGGAAAGATGCTGAAGTCAGGGAAGGAGAGATGGATGGAAGGAAGGAAGGAAGGAAGGAAAGAAAGATGCTGAAGTCAGGGAAGGAGACATGGATGGAAGGAAGGAAGGAAGGAGAGATGGAAGGAAGGAAGGAAGGATGCTGAAGTCAGGGAAGGAAGGATGGAAAAAGAGGGGAAACAAGCAAGGAAGGGAAAAGAGCGAGAAAGGAAGAAAGAAAAAGGAGAGATGTGGGAAGGAAGGAATATGAAGGAAGAAAGGAAAGGAATGGACGTAAAATCTTCACTGCTCAATTGTCAATACCATTTTCATTGCTCCAAAACTCTGCAGGGAAGCTCCTTCAGAAGACAATTTCTTAAATTTGGTGGGACTTTTCGAGACACCATGAATTTCTAAGGAGGGAGTCGGACAGCGTCAACTTTTGATCACAGAATACGGCGGGACAGAAGGGAAATTAATTGACTAACACGGAGCAGATGTAGTACGGCCAAGAATTGTGGACCCCATGAAGGAGCACTTGGGGATCAGCAGAATTCAGGGGGGGGGGAGTCTCTTTGACAGCATCTCAAGCAGCTGGACCTGCCCACAAGATGCCAAAGTTGGCACCTCTGGAGCTCATATTGTGCCAGAACAAACTCTTAATGGAATTACTGCAGTCATAAAAACTGCTTCAGGTGGCAAATGTAAGGAAGGCAATGCCAGGAGAGGACAGTTAAGGTCACTTAACTGGTGTCTCTTTCCTTGCCCCGTGCCAGCAGCATATTTACAGAATAACAGAGTCAGAAGGGACCTTGGAGGTCATCTAATCCAACCCTCCGTTCAGGCAGGAGACCCCAAACCATTTCAGACAAATGGTTGACCAGTCTCTTCTTCAAAGCCTCCGTTTAACACATTTTTTTCTCTGCATAAATGCCTGCTTTTTTTTTCTTAACTCCTCCAGAATCAGGGCTTTCCAACTCAGCCCGCTGGATTTTTTTTTCCCCCACCCCAATTGCACAGGTAGTCCTCAAATCCGTTTAGTTCGAAGTTACAGCGGCACTGAAAAATAGTGACCGGTCCTCACTCTTACGACCGTGGCAGCATCTCCATGGTCACGTGATCGAAATTCAGACAAAATTCAGCTTGGCAACTGACTGGTATTTAAGACGGTCTCAGCGTCCCGGGGTCCTGTGATTGCCATTTGTGACAATCTTTTGACAAAGTCCATGGGGGCTGTCGGATTTGTTGAAGGAAGGAAGGAAGGAAGGAAGGAAGGAAGGAAGGAAGGAAGGAAGGAAGGAAGGAAGGAAGGAAGGAAGGAAGGAAGGAAGGACAGCCTTTTATCTATTCGTTTAGCACAATGATTTTTATACAGCCATTCTTAAAGATTCCTAGCTAGGAGCAGACAAGAGAGATGTCCAAAAAAAAAAAAATTTAGAAAAAAAAATTAAAAGGAGGAACCCCAATTTGACAATAACTTGTGTTTGTGGACAAGGTAAGGGAACGAGAGAGAGAGAGAGAGAGAGAGAGAGAGAGAGAGAGAGAGAGAGAGAGAGAGAGAGAAATATTTGTTTTGTTTTGTTTTTAAATATTATTCTCAAGTTTTGCCCAAGACTTCCAGAGTCATTGAGATCAAACCTAAATCTGATGTCCGGATCCCTCTTGAAACGTTTCAAGGTAAGACGAGGATAAACAGGACAGTGAATTGGTTGAAATGGAAAGCATCCAGAGAAGATGGAACCACACGGTCTCCTTCACCGATTATTATTATTTACTATTATAAGTAATAAAGTCTGATATCGGTGGTGGAGTTCACTGGGGCTCCATTTCTTGAATGTAGTAAATCGGCACATCCTGCCTTAACGTGTCACGTGTTTCCCTGAAAGTGTGGGACCGTGAAGATCTTGAGGATTTATCCTCTCAACTTATTTAGAGTTTGGGGGGGAACCTGGTTTAATTCTTGTTTGGTCGTTCTTTCTTACCCCAACTAAGGGGAGAGAATTCAGTCTCAACCTTAGAATTATGTTGTGTCAAGAATTTGATTTGATTCTTGCATGTAATGAATTAGCACATCCTGCCTTAACGTGTTACGTGTTCCCTGAAAGTCTGCGTGAATTTATCCTCTCAACTCATTTGAGTTTTGGGGAATCTGGTTTAATACTTCTTTGGTCGTTCTCTCTTACCCCAACTAAGGGGAGAGAATTCAGTCTCAACCTTAGAATTATGTTGTGTTGGGAGGTCACGTCAAGGATTTTCTTTTAAGATAATGAGCGTTCACACTTTCAGCTGCCTTGTCTGGTGAATGTTTCGATGGCAAAGCTCTTCTTCTAAAACAAGGTCACCTCTGAACCTCGGCAAAAAGGGCCGTCTCACATTGTGGGGAGGGGGACGGAGTTGCAAAGATGACACCATACAGCGGAATGAGAAGAGCCTAGAGTTCCTTCAAGGAGCTCCTTAAGTTATTGACTACCTTATGGCTTCCTGTGTAGACCATCGAGAAGTCCTCTTTGAATCTGTCACTACAAAACATTGCATGGTTTAACATTAGCATCGTGGAGAGGACACCTCACTCTGTCTGCTGACACCAGCCTTTGCACCTGGATAGAAGGTCATTGTGATTGAGATGGTCAGCCTACTCAAGCCAACTTGGCCCTCTTTGTTGTTCTAGAAGCATTGTCCCATTGCAGCTGGAGTGTCCTCCCATTTTAGCTCACTTTCCCATCTCAAAAAGACCCACAGGTGGTCGTTGGGCATTTCAACATAGTCTTCCTCAAGTCGAGGCTGATAGGAACCCTTCACTTAATAGAAGCTGCAAACTTCAGGCTAATAGGACCCTTCTTTTAGAGAAGCCGCAAACCATGGGGAGAGAAAAAAGCACACACACAGTCTTCTGGTTGCATGTTCCCTCCAATGTCTCCCAGATGTGTCTTCTCCTTCTGCCTTGCTTCTTCGTCTTTCCGTAAGGTTCTCCACAAAGTTGTGGGTGAAAGAAAACCCACCCAACTGAATGCAAAGCTGGGTCTCTCTACCGCTCACTTTTAGAAGCTGTTTGTTTTCTCGACTAGCTTTCATATCACCTGATAAATAAGACAATGCTCATTCTCTTTTTTTTTCTTTTCCTCCCTGTGGCCTGGCCTTGCAGACTGTGAATGTTACGGGCATTCCAACCGGTGCAGCTTCATCGATTTCCTGAATTTAGTGACCTGCATTAGTTGCAAGCATAACACGCGGGGACAACACTGCCAGTATTGTCGGCTTGGCTACTTCCGAAATAGCTCTGCAGAGTTGGACGATGAGAATGTTTGCGTAGGTGAGTAGGAACAGAAATGTTGGGCTCAGCTGTGCTCATAAATCAAGGACTCAGCTGTCTATCCAGGATCACTCCTCCTCCTCACTAGTAGTTGGGGGACTTTAAACCCCAACACCTTAAGGGAGCTGTAGGATGGAGGTTACACATCATCCAAAAGTTAAGAAGAGGTCCATACACACTAGATCTCCAGAGATGCTCTCGGTCTCGTCTCCATAAGAATTAGGGATGACTTTCTGGGGGTTTTTTCCACCGCAGATCTGACTTTACTGGTCTGTTGTTTCTCCCAGATTGCAACTGCAACCGAATTGGCTCACTGGCTAACCGTTGTAATGAGACCGGCTATTGCGAATGCAAAGGTGGTGGCGTGACGGGGCCGAAATGTGACGATTGTCTGCCCGGCTACTACTGGAGGCAAGGTTGCTTACGTAAGTATGATCCTTTTCCTGAATGAATGTGTTGCAGTTGATTTGCAGACTTGAACCCCAGCTGATTCAACCAGAGAGTTCCTCACGTTTTGCTGACTTTAAGAAATGTGGACTTCCCAGCTAGCAGGCTTTATGGTGAGTGGAATTCTGGGAGTTGAAGTCCATGCATTTTCAAGCAAGCTGGCTAGGGAATTCTGGGAGTTGGCGTTCACACACGGTAAAGCAAGCTGGCTGGAGAATTCTGGGACTTCAAGTCCATGCACCTTAAAGCGAGTTGGCTGCGGAATTCTGGGACTTCGTCCCTGCACCTTAAAACAAGCTGGCTGTGGAATTCTGGGAGTTGAAGTCCACTCAACTTAAAGCATTACTGGCTGTGGAATTCTGGGAGTTGAAGTCCACTCATCTTAAAGTCATCAAGGTTGAGTAACGCTGCCTTCCACCCCATCCAGACCTGCCTCTCATTCCTGACTCAACCTGTTCAGTCCTGCAAATCTAACTGCCCTTTTCAGAACCCCTCAATCCTCACTTGCAAAAGCTTTATTGTCCATCCCTTTGAGTTTTAATTTGGGGGAGCAGCCCCCAACCTCCCCCCCAGCTTCTGAATCCTAGCACTTCCAATGCCCCCCCTTCTCTCTGCAGCCAACATCTGCGATGACGAGCTCCTGATTTGCCAAAACGGAGGCACGTGTTACGAGAACCAGCGGTGTCTCTGCCCGCCAGGAACCAAGGGCGTCCTGTGTGAACAAACTAAATGTGAAGGGGAAGATACGGAGTGCGACTCCGTCTCCGGAACGTATCTCAGCCTTTCGGCCTTTGTGGCCAGCGCGGTTGGCCTACACATGCAGCAACTGTTGGACCTCTGAAGGACAAGGGGGGGAAAGTGCTCCGTCAAAATCCCACAGGAAACCTCGAGTGGAAGCGAGAAAGGACGGGACCACTTGAAAACGTTGCAAGCACAGAAGAAACATCACCCAGCGGAGCTGGTGTCTTCTTGGGCCTTGCTGGCCATGAGTTGAAGGATTCAAAAGAAGTTCCTGCTCCTCACCGAGGTCTTTGGTTGGACGTAATTGAAGGAACATAGATACCTTTTATGGTGTCCACCCAACCAGGAAAGGACATCTCAACAGGACTTTGCGAGGGGGGAATGCTAATTGTTTGCAATTTTCCAACTATCTTCTCGAGGGGAAAATTGTCCAGAGCTCTCCTTTGCACAAGGGTAGCTTCCAAAAAGGGGTGGGATGGGGGTGGATTGCCCTCAGTTATCTTGCATTTATGTTGTGCTGCTCTTCCCTTCCAAATCTCTTCTTTCTTCCAGCCCGATTTTTTAGGAAGACGTAGCTCAGCGAAACGGGCTGGCAGGTGCAAAATTGGAAAAGGAACATTATGGGACCTTTTTCCTCTTGTTTAGTTAGGCCTTAAAGGATAACGTGGCCTCTCAAAAAAAAATCAAATTGCTGAATTTATTAAGTTTTCTTTTTTTTCTTTTCTTTTGGATTCGTTTTCCTTTTTTTACTCTTTTGGTTGAGAGTCTTCGGCTTTCCACACTGGTTTTTTATTACGCAAAAAAAAAAAAAAAAATACATCACATTCCTCCGGGCTTTGCCGAATAGATTACAGTTCGATTCGTTTCTTTTCTCTATTTTTCCCCTTTTTGGTAGAGAATTATATTTGTTGGAATTATAAAAGTTCTAAAGAAGAGTAGGGAAGGGGAGATTTAAACAAAACAAAACAAAAAACAATCAGGTGAACTACCAGAGCCTTTAGAAAAAAAAAAAAATTACCTGAAATATTACGGTGTTATAATCCATTACATAAAAGCAACTTATTAATTGCTGTTAGGTCTCGGATTATTATTATTATTTTCTTCCCAGCTTTGCAGATTTAACTCGTCCGTTGGTGGGCATGCCTCCAAAAAGATTGAGATAAAGGACGAATGACGGCCACTTTGCATTTCCTGATGCCAAAGATGGATTTGCTGAGAGTTTGCACAGTGCTTTCCTTGTTACGATGCTTAGGTGCTTTTAAACCAGTAACCAACTCTTTTTTTAGTTGCAAGAGAACTTCTTCAGACTGGCTATCTTTTGATAGGAAGACAGCAAAGTGTTGAATGCACAAAGGATGATCAACAGGGATGAGATTGAAGCCAGGATGGGCAATCTGTTTGAGGATTTGAACATCATCCCCTCCTACCACCGTTGGATAAGTGCTGAATAAAAGAGAAGAATGGGGGGGGGAATGGCTTAAATCTATAGGGTACAGAATAAGAGAGCTGGAAGGGACACTGGAGGTCTTCTAGTCCTACCTATCTAGTCCAGCCCTATGATTCTATGCTCTAAGTAGTGTTTCTCCACTTGTAGGCGTTCCATCCATGGAGGTTTTCATGAAGAGATTGAACAGCCACTGATGTGAAATGGTGCAGGGTTTCCTGCTTGAGCAGGGGGCTGGACTAGAAGACCTCCAAGGTCCCTTCCGGCTCTATTCTAGTGTAGAATTTAAAAAACCCCAAAATTCATTAGCATCAATCACCCTATTGTCGCTCTAACGCTGCAAAAAGTTACTGCATCAAAGGGGTCAACGCCGAAGGAACAGCAACAACTGCCGTTTGTGAATTCGTCCAGTCCAAAACGCTGCTGGAATCGGTCCGGCCAAATTCCTGCAAAATAAAATAAATAAAAATCACAGGTCTGGTTGGGAACCCAGGAAATTTGCTGGCTTGGGGAAAAACCACCCAAATCCCCAACACACACACACACACACACACACACACACACACACACCAACCTTTAGTGCTTTTAGTTTTGTAAGCCTCAATTAAGAGATGTAAAATTGTTTCTCTGTGGCCTAATTCTGGAGCAGATAAAAGATGTTTGGGGAGACGGTGTGACTAATTCCAAGCGTTGAGAGAATTTGTTATATGTAAATAAATTGCCCTAGAAGAGGATGGGGGGTTTTGTTTCTAGGTGATTCTCAAAGCAACCGTTGGCACCCCTGCAGAGTTGAAAAGCACTTAGGAGGGGGAAAAAAATACACACTGATGCTCTAACAGGAAAACTATTATGGGACATAGATAATAAGTATTTCACCATCTAGCCTCAGGTTGAGCTAATGAGACTCGTAAGTTTACAAATGTGTCCCAGATTAGGACCCCCCTTTTTTAAAAAAAGCTATCAAGATACAGGTAATCCTTGACTTAAAACCACGATGGAGCCCCAAATTTTGGTTACTAAGCCAGACCTTTGTTAAGCGAGTTTTGTGCCCCGTTTTACGACCTTCCATATGCAGTTGTTCTGTTAATTAACAGGGTCGTTAAGGGAATCTGGATTCTGCATGGACTTTGCTGGTTCAAGTCACAAAAGGGAATCACATCACACACACATACACACACACACCGACGCTGCAATCGTCATAAATATGATCCGGTTGTCAAGTGTCCGAATCTTGATCACGTGACCATGGGATGCTGCTGCAACGGTCGTGTGAAAAAACAGCCCCTTTTTTTCAGTCACTAAGTGAACTATTGTAAAGGACTACCTCAAAAAAAATAAAACAAACCCCCAAACAAACCAACATAGCATTAATGCTTCTTTCCTGAGGAGAAATCAGGAGGGTTTGCAAATAAAAGACCAATTTTACTCTCTGTGTATTGAGTCCTACTTAAGCTTGGTTTAAATTCAACTAGCTCGCTCTTTGGATTTATACCATGCAGTCATGAACTAGCCAACCTCCTGTAATCGTGGTTACCAAGTTTCTCAGATTAATAAGGGTGCCACCTGGTGGCTTTTCATTGACTGCCTGGTTGAGCGTCTTGTGGGCACAGAGACACAAAGCCGAGAGCGCCGAGGGTCTGAAACTAGGTTCAGCCAGGGCTTTGTGAGATGACCAAACATGGAGAGGAGACCAGGAACAAATTCCATAAAGGAGATGATGGTCAGGAGGCTGGAATACCATCAGTTGGGGCTGCCTGAAGGAGGTTTTCTACTAAGTCAAAAGCAGCTTCCTTGACAGCGCCATGCTGATGTTAACCAGAGATGGAAGACCTGATCTAGAAGCTGCTTTTATGAAGCTTCTCTAAGTTATCCATAACTTCCCACAATCTCTGGTTGGCTTCAGGTCTATCAAGGTATTCATAACGCCCCAGAAGTGGATTCTGATGGATGGGCTTGTCTTCCCACTCTAGAAACACACCATCTGCCTCCAAAGCAGATCTGCCGAGTGTCTCAATCTACTCAACTTTTAGGAAGCCAACCAAGTCAAACTAATAAAGAGAGCATCCGATCCGATAGCGCCAGATCAACTGGATTCTGCATGCTTACCAAAGCTGTTCTTTCCTCATCACGTTGAGCAGTCAGATTGGATGGATTTCACTTTCCTGAACCAAATCGGGTACCGAGATCTTAACGCCCAATTGCAGCAAAGTTGCTGAAAGGATCCTGGGAAAAGGAGCTATGAGGTCCTTCCAATGGGAAATTCCATCTAGGATCTGGAAGATGCAGAAAGCAGGGAATCTATTTGCCCGGGATAAAACAGCTGCTCTTCTGCTCTTCAGCAAGGAGTCTCTTATCAATTTCTTCCCCTCAGAGTGTCAATTAAGCTAAGCCCCCAATGCACGGGAGGCTAAACCCAAGTGACCCCCCCCATTCATATAGGATCCTCTCAACTTTAAGATGATCTATGTCAATCTATGGAGATTCTCTGTCATTCAGATCATGGTGGTCCCAAAGCTGCTTTTTCAAAAGGCAACTGGACTCTTGTTTTCTCCTTGAAGACGTTTCGCTTCTTATCCAAGAAGCATCTTCAGCTCTGCATGATGGAGAATGGAAGGATTTATGTTCCGTGCAGTCATCTGGTCGTTAGTACTCTTCCTGAGAGTCGTTGAGGCTACATGGAGGTGTATCTGTGCCCTGGGGGGCGCAAACCTTCTTGCAACAGTTGAAAGGACTGTATTGTAAATAGGAGGGAGGTGGAGAACAAACCCATCAGGACAATATTCAGCAGTCCAACTGCATTTGAAAGCCAAAGACCGCTCTTTCAAAGACAGCAAAGTCCACATCCTGGACAGAGAGAACCGCTGGTTTGAAAGAGGGGTCAAAGAGGCCATCTAGGTCAAAACTGAACCGGGGGGGGGGGATACGACACCATCTATCTCCAGTCTACAACACCGTCTTTTCAACAGTTCCGAGAAGGCTCCACACCCATTTGCGCTATTCGGGGGACTCCGAGGGCAGAGATAAACCTCCAAGTGGCCTCAAGGCCTCTTAGAGGGAGAACAAATGACCAGGTGACTGCAAGGGATATAAATCCTTCCATTCTCCATCATCCAGTCAGAGCTGAAGAAGCTTCTTGGATGAGAAGCAAAAGATCTTCAAGGAAAACCAAAGAAAGTCCACTTGCCATTTGGAAAAAGCGTTTTTGGGAATCCAGATCTAGAGGAGCTACTCCACTTGCTGTGCAGAGGATGGGGATCTAGGTATAATTAAACTATTAGGGGCTTTTTGTTCGAAAAGCCAGCCCACAGAAGCCAACTCACTTGCTTTGACGCAACAGGGGCTTGATCCAAAACCCTGGAAAATCTCATGTACATTCACTCTCACTCTAATTCACAAGTCCTTAACTCACCTTTCGGAAGCACGAATCAGAGAGAGCCAAATGTATTTTTGAAAATACAACCTGAATTATTTATTATGGGGAAAACGGGGGGAAAAGATCTTAAAAAAGGACTATTTTAATGTATCTACATTTAAGCTATTCATAACAGAAGGGTATATGTATATATAGAGATATATGTATAGACATTTATAAACACAAACAACTTTTTATCAAACCAAGTCCACTGAAAGTGCCCAGGGTTGAGTGGGCAGTGAGAATTAAGCCATTTTTTTTCCCCTTGTGCTTGGGACCCTCCTCCCCAGATTTTGAGAGGGAAAGAGGGCGGGGAAAAGTCCATTACAAACCGCAAATTGCCAAACTGCAAGTTTTTAATAAAAGATTAAATTTACCGCAGAGTAGTGGGCAGGCAGAGAGAGAAAAACACTCCTCCCCAGCCCAGCCCAGCCCAGTTGAGGAAATAATCCAAACTTTTTCACATCTTTGCAAAAAAAACAAGAGGCACTTTGGTCAGAAAATGGGCGAGGGAGGCTAGAATATTGCAGAATCTCTGTACGAATGGAGACAGGAAGTCATTTGTTATTTGCGCAAATGTTCTTTTCAGCCCATGTTGCTTACTGCCATTCCTCAGAAGGCACCCCGAATTAGGCAGGGCAAAGTCCACCAAACCCGTGTTGTGTTGTGTACCCCCCCAAAGAATCAGCAATGAAATAAGCAGGATTTCAGTGCTGGGACAGGAGGTCTTGTTTAAAGTAGGGATCCCACACGTATCAGGACAGTGACTGACAAGGTCCTTGACGGGCGGGCGGGCGGGCCAGGTCTTCACTCACCCAGCAATGGACTCTTTAAATAGGATACTATACACACATGGAAGCATTCTACGGGCACTCTTCTGGCCTCTAAAAAATAAAGCTTTCTTTCCTGTACAAATGTACACGGCCCTTAAGGCTTCCAGATTTTGGAGGTTTTTTTTTTGTTTTAAGATATGGCTGTTTCAAGGCGTAGTATCTGCCTCGTGTCAGTGTATTTATGCATACAGACCCAGACAGGCGAAGACACACTCTCTCTCTTTCTCTCAAGTCTTACAAGCAAGAAGTGATGGGAAGACTCGAATACAAGACTCCTGGCAAGGAATTGGGGGGGGGAGGGAAGAAGGGGTCTCGGGAGTCAGAAAGTGATGCGTCTCTTCTTGGGCTGGGTAGAATCGTCTTTCTCCTGGGACGCCTCCAATATCCTCTGGGGATAGCCGGGGACGTTTTCCGAAGTCTTGAATTGCTCGGTCAGAAAGGAGAGTCTCTGGTCCGGGATTTCGGTGGAGGGGGCTCTGCTCGGCAGAGGGGCGCCAACGCGGCTTGACGTCTCCCCCAGCGTGTCCGCGGAATTGCTACGGCTCTGAGCGGGCAGAGGGCCGGGGTTTTTTTGCCTTGATGAGGCCCACAAAGCCGAGGTTTCACCCTCCTTGCCGTTGGCGGCCTTGCTCGCCGATTTTGCTCGTCTGAAGAGACGGGGGTCTTGCGGCCTGTCCTGGATGGGCTTAGGCTGCCTCACGAGGAGCGGCCGGGGCTTCTGTGTCTCTTGAGGGGTCCTGTTGACGGCTGGAGTGGGGAGGGGGACCGGAGGGCGCTGCGTATCGGGGCCGGGAAGGGCCTGTTGCTTGGTTCCACTAAAGGCCGAGGGTTCTTGGGCGTCTCTTTCTGGAGTTGCCACTCTGGAACAGGGAAACGGTCTGGATTTGAGGATTTTCAGGGCGCTGGTTCTGTAAGTGTTCTTGGAGGTCTGGATGATGTTCCCTCTCCGCTGGGCATCCTGGATCATCTCGTTCCAGTCTTTGTTCTCCTGGAGATGGAGAAAGGGGAGAGAAGACACGGTGATCCAGTTGTCCCGTATTCCCTTCGAGTAGATCAACAAGAATGAAAGAGATTGCAGCTCCGTTAAAGCCCCCTTTCCCCCTTTCCCACCTACCATGAGAGTCTTCAGCTTCCCGAGAATAAACAGGCTGTATTTGGCCCGGGTGATGATGACGTTCAGGCGCTTCAAACTTCTCAAAAACCTGGAGAGGGGCAATGAAAAGGGCACCGCAAGGTGAGGACGTCTGAGCAGTGGCGGAATTCAGCGTCTTCCTCGTCGCTTCCATCCCAGGGCCCATCCACACCTGGGAGACGTCTAAATCCTCTCCTCCCATCCCGGAGACAGCGAGGTGCTTGTCAACGGGAGGTCAAAGCCAAAAACGGAAAACCCCCCAAAGAGGACCCCAAAATTTGGGCCAAACGGGTGGAGGAACGGGAATCTTGGTTGGAAGCTCTTAGCCGCCCGAGGGGATGAAACCAGCCCGCCATTTCAAAAACAGCTTTTAGAAGACACGACGATGCTGGCTTGGACACTGGCGGCCGGTTCCTATCTTAAATTTTGAACCCAGGTCGCCCTGATTGGAGATGGCAGTGTAGGGGGGAGGGAGTGGAGTGAAGGAAGACTCTGGATTCGTTTCACCAGCCCTGACCTTGAAACACCTCTCCGCACGACCCATCGGGAGACCGACACTCTTCTGATTCATGCGCAAACTCCCTTATTAATATTTCACGCGGGCCCTGAATATTTCATTCGCTGCAAAGGTGACTTGCGAAACGGGGAACGCGCCGGGAAGGCAAGCGTAACCTTTCTCCCTCCGTCTTGGAGGAAAGCTATTAAACCGAAGCTCAACGGCGAGGACTTGTTTTCGAAACACGGGGCTCTGGTCTGGCCTGAGGGGACAAGGTTCCCAGGACAGAGGGGGGTTTTTTGGTTTTTAAGCCCTGGATTCTAAGACGGTGAGGATGATGGATCCCAAGCTCACGGAAGAGCTGAACTAGAAGCTTCCTGAAGAGGCTATTATGAACTTGCGAGCAAGTTTGGTCTAGTGGTTAAGGCGTCAGGATAGAGGAGGAGCCTGGTGCCAGGAGACGGTGAGTTCTAGTCCCGCCTTAAGCATGAAAGCTGGCTGGGTGACTTTGGGCCTATCACCAGAGACTGGGAATTCTAGTCCCACCTTAGCCATGAAAACCAGCTGGGTGACTTTGGGCCGGTCCCTCTCTCTCTCATCCCAACCCACCTCCCAGGGCTGTGGTTGTGGGGAAGGTACATTGGATAAGTTCACCACCTGGAATGATTGATAAAACCAATAAAGGTGGGATATAAAATAAACCAACTTCTCACGCTCTCTGGCTAGGCCAGCTAGGGAATTCTGGGCGTTGAAGTCCGCCCATCTTAAAGGGTCTTGGATTGAGAAACAACCAAGGGGTGGTCCCACCATAAATTTCATTCGCCACTCTTGGTTGCCATCTGCTGACCAGGAAGCTTGGTGCTTTTGATTGCTACAGAAGAAGGCAAGGCGGGTTTCTGTCTGAACCTAGAAACGTGGGGGCAGTTTTAAGACGGGCGGCCTTCAGCTCCCAGAATTCCTTAGCCAGTATGTTTGAAGACGGGTGGGCTTCAACCCTCAGAATTCTCCAGTCAGCAGCTTTAAAGGTGCTGGGGAATTCTGGGAGTTGAATCCCACATGTCTTAAAATTGTCCAGGTTGAGAAACACCCTTCTAGACACGTTAAAAAAAAAAGTTTTGCTTCATTCTATTCCAGAATTGGGGCTGGAGCACCCCCCACCCCACCCCCAAGCTGACCAGGAATAGAATAGAGCCAGAAGGGACCTTGGAGGTCTTCTAGTCCAGCCCCCTGCTCAAGCAGGAGAACCTATACCGTCTCAGGAGTTGAGCCTAACATGAAAAACACCCGGCCCCGAAATAAAATGGCACCAGTTCCTGGCACCAAAGGACAGAGAGACCTACCCAATCGATCCTTGTGTGCTGTTTGCCCGCACACAGGTGACAATAACGCAATCTTTCTCCCGGCCTTGGAATCCGTCCACGGTGTCAATTTCCCCAACACTGGGGAGGGAAAATAAATGAATGAATGAATGAATGAATGAATGAATGAATGAATAAAAGGATAGTAAGGAAGGACGGAAGATGAGTCAGGATGCTTATTTTTAACCCACACCCCACCTTCAAAACAAACAAACACCCCCTTGGAAAATGAAGGGGGGGAATTGCAGGAAAGATGAGTAATAAATCTTACTTTAAGAGATTTTTTAAGGGAGAGGGGAAGAGAGACAAAGAAGCAGAAGGTGAACTGGGGGGGGGGGGAAGATCTCAGGACATGGAGGCATTAGACAGAGGGACGTCCACACCTTCAGCACTCACTTGTTTTCTCCAAATTCTTTATCCAGCTGTCTCTGTATCCTCCTCTTTTGCGCGTTGTAAGGAGTGATGATTCCAATTTGGCGAGAGCCGATGTCCTTCTTTTTCTCCTTAATGACCTTCATTAGCTCCGTCAACAGCGTCAATTCTTGGGGGTTATAAAAGGAGCTGAACCAAGGCAAACAGGGGAAAAGTGACTTAGAGGAGAAGACGGAGGGGGAGAACAAGCGAGGGGTAAATTTAAGGTTGTAATTTGGCTCCATCCTTCCACTTAAAGCTAAGCACTGCATTGGGGCAAGAAACTGTTCCCTAAATCAGCGTTTCTCAACCTCGACACTTTTCAGATGAGTGGACTTCAACTCCCAGAATTCCCCAGCCGGGACTACTCGGACACGAATGCTTGTTGAAAGGGAAGTTCCCAAAGACGGGACTGACGTTTTCCTTTGCGGTCGCATCTGCAATTGCTAGCTTGGGATGCAGCCACTGAGACGCACTTAATCAACACAGGCAAGACAACTTACTCATTCTCGCATTCCTCGCGGCTGTCTAAGACGTCGAAAAGCAAATAGGGTTGAAAAGGCCAGGCCAGCGAGAAGCGATCTTCTGCTATTTTCCTGTTGTGGGAGAATTGTCACGGGACAGAAAGAGGCAAAGTAGAATGAGAGAGTTGACACCAGGACCCTTTTCAAACAGAGACACTGAATCACACAGGCGTGGCCAAATCTTTGAGCTTGTCTCGCACACAACACTTGGAGAAACTAGGTAGAAATGTTGCAACGGCAGGTACAAAAACCCTGATTTAATCCCAGGAAGTGTCAGGAAGAAGCATAGACTAGTCCAGGGGTAGGCAACCTTGGCTCTTTTATGACTCGTGGACTTCAACTTCCAGAATTCCTGAGCCAGCATGGCTCAGCATGGAAACCTCTCCCTTTCTCCTCAGCATGGCTGGCTCAGGAATTCTGGGAGTTGAAGTCCACCAGTCATAAAAGAGCCAAGGTTGCCTACCCCTGGACTAGTTCCACCATTAACTGACTGGGAAATAATGGGGAAGAAATGGAAAAAACACCATCGAACTTTCAAAAATATGTCAATATAATTCTGTTCCAACTCGTGACGTCCATTTCCTGGTCTGGCCTATCTGAAAAGGCCGGTACAAAAACAGCTAGAATTTTCTCGTTGCAACTCAGGAAAAAAAATCCCCACTTTTTTTTTTTTTTGAAAGATTGTCTCTCAATTCTTTTAAAAAAGGGGAAAAGTTAAGACATCAGAAAAATCCAACAAACCCAAACTGAATTGCTGGATAGGTTAATGACAGAGATGGGGTTTTTTTTACATGTAAGAGTCCACCCCCACCCCCACCCCCCAAAAAATATAAAATCCAAGACAGAATCGTATACGCCGTTTGCGATGTCATTAAAAAAAAAAAACAGAAGGCGCCTTGGGGCTGCCCAGACACCAATTTAAAAATAGGCAAAAATGGGCAGGGTGGGGGGAAAAAAGCCAAGATCTGGAATAAAAGGGACCTCAGACCCACATTTTACTTGTTTAGCAGGATGCTTCCATTTCCTACCTGTCAGTGGTCAAGACCCCTTCGTAGATATATTTGGAGGGGAAAAGGCAAATTTCTGGGTGCATCCGATACTGAACGGTGAGCTGAAACACTGGAAATTTCCCAGAGATATTTTCTTGATCTTGTTCCTTCAGATGCTTGCAGAGACGGTCTATTAGAGACTGGTCGTAGCTATGATCCTGGGCTTTCTAACAACATGGGAAGAAAGACATTCAGAAGGGCTGCCCCGGCTGAAAAATATACAGGCAGTCAGTCCTTGACTTACAACCACCATTGATAAGAAAGCAGACGGCCTGTAGACCTTTAGCAGCTGATTAATAACAATAACAACAATAATAATAATTCCACTAATGTAACGAAGAGACGAAAAGTAGAGCTGGCCACTTTGCGAAATAAGAAGGGGATTGAGAGGCCCAACACATCTGGGGAAAGCAGCTGCTGGCCAGGAAGACAAGATCCACTTTCCCGCACATCTGGAGTCATCTTAAAGATGCAACTACGTACCAGGGACTTAATGGTGGGAGGCAGCTGTTCGGGATCGCCAACCAGGACCAGCTTCTTACAGCCATGGATCAGAGGGATAAGAGTTTCGATTTCACACGTCTGTCCTGCCTTTTCGTAAGAAAGCACCAGAGTGGGAAGAAATAAATTAGAAAACTGCAAGGAGGAGATGAGGAATAAGCCCAAACAGAAACACAAGTAGTTTTTGATGATGTACGGCTGGCCGCTTAGCGACAGTTCAAAGTTGCAATCAACTCATAAATGGTGCAAGTGATCCTCGACTTAACAAGTGCTAGTTTAGGAACCATCACAAATTATGACCATAAGGGGCAAGCTCTGTTACAGTTGTAAGTCAAGGACTATCTGTGCTGGAAAGATCTGCAGAATTCCTTCTAAATTCGTAACTCCTCCTGCTCTTATTTTCAGGATTGAGTTTTTTCCCTGGTTTTGTTTTTTAAATGGGGTGCACAGCCTTCCAGAGGACAGTCTATAACTTGCTTTTTTTCCCTTGCCCCACCCCGCTCTTGGCAGAAAAGGGGATCAGGAAACGGGTGGCTGGGTCTGAAACTCGTAAAAAGCAACTTTGCAAATTAAAAAGGATGCCAGAGAGTCATAACTCCTGCTACAAGAGAAGCGTGTAATTGTCTGAATGAGAATTTATTCCCAGCACATGGCAGAAGTAATGTACTGTTAAATTGTTCTTGTTCTGCCAGGGGGCAGGAAATGGGTCGTGCTTTGCTAAATGGAGGGATGAAGGGGTGGCGTTGGGGGGTGGGGGAGGGGAAACCCAGCCATGGCAGGCTGTGATGGACAACCCTGGAGGAATGAATTACATTTATAATACGGGTAATTAATCCAAAGACCCAAACTGGCTCTTCAGAGAATGTCAATGACATTTTTCTCATACGATATGAACGGTACAAGCAGTTCTCTACTCACAACCGCATTTCTGTTGTTAAAAGTGAGTTTTGCCTCTATTTTACGACCTTCCTTGTCACGGTTGTCGGAAGGTCGCAAAATGATTCACTTAACAAGTGTGGCAAAAAAAAAAAAAGGCCGTAACGTGGGGCAAAACCCATTGAACAACTGTCTTGTTTGGCAATGGAAATGACTTGGGCATCATTGTGGCGGTACGTCAAGGATTCCCTTGCACACAGGAGGGAGCAGCTGAGAGTCTCCCAAGTGTAAGGGACACACCGCAAGCGTCTTACCTCGTCCACAATCACACAGCTGACGGGGTCCCCGCCCAGCCTGCGGAAAGCGGATTTCAGCAGCATCCCTCCGCTGGTGCTCAAGGTGCAGCAAATGATATGGGACTCCAAAATGATGCTGGCTTTCAATTCTTGAGATCGCCCGCGAGCCTGAAAAGCCGAAGAGAAAAGCAGGAGAATTCAAAGCTTGGTTCGAAATTCGGATCGGGGACGGATCAGTCTAGATTCCTCTCCCTCCAGCCTTGCCCAAAAGACAAGAGCTGGCCCAGCGGTTGAGGCACAAATCAAAGCACTGGGGGCTGGTAAAAATGCAGCCCGCTTCCCGATTCTTACAGAAAGAATTTGGATTGTCTGTTGGCAAGACCAACTGAGGGATGTTAGGAACTCTATGGGAGTTCTACCTCTTTGAGTTGAGAAGCCAAGCACTGCCTCTCCTTGGAGAGCTGGCAAATTTCATCCTCCAGCTGCTGTTTCTGAAACAGAAGACAAACCTCTTTTTTTTCAAAACCAAGAACCATCGTTTTGCAAGCCATGTTGAAAACTAGACACAGGAGTGGCACAGGAGAGCCGTTCCCACGAACTGTCACAAACTGGATGCTGGCATGCCGCAGCCCGGTACTGATCTATGGACCGGGGGTTGGGGACCCTTGTTCTAGTCCTAACTCCGTTCCAGTGGTTTAGTTGTTGTTTTTTTCCTCTCCCAAGAGATCGTGGGTGGAATCAGAAGCACCCACTCGTCTGCAACCAATGACTCCAAAAATAACCCCTTCTATTTGGGATCTGGTGGTTACCTTCTCCCCGTTCTCGCTTCGGTCCATGGCCCGCAGACGAGAAAGCGTGTCCAGCTGCCGATCTAAATCTTCCTTCCTCTTTTGGAGGTCTTGGTGTTTACCAAGCATGGCTTTGTCTACGGAACCAAAGAGAAGGAGATCCCGTTTTTCCAAACCAGATTGAAGATCTGGTTCGCTCAGTCCAGAATCTGGTTCAAGTTCAGATCGTTGGAAGCAATACACACACACACACACATAGGCAGTCCTTGACTAACGACCACATCTGTGGCTAAGTGAAACATTTGTTCAGTGAATTTTGCCCCCTTTTATGACCTTTCCTGCCAAAGTTATTAAGTGAATCGATGCAGTTCTTAAGTTAGGAATACGATTGTATTCAGGGTTACAGGCAAAGCTGGTTTCCAATTCATCATCATCCTTATTCTTAAATTTATCAGTTCCTGGTTTTCTTCCCTTCGCATTTCCTGTTAAAACTAAGAGATTTTTTTCGTCTAGTAGTTTTACTTATCTCTATTCTTTCTGCTCCCTCTGGAATATTCCGACCTAGATTTAAGGATCTTTGCAGGACTTTTCTTTCGGGATCAATAATGGTTTGGGGTGGTATTTCTCAACAGTAGAGTCCACTGGATTGAGTATGATATTCTAAGAAGCCTCTCTCTACTTTTCTGATACTAGCTTAAGAGCAAAGTGGCTCTGTGCCTTTTCCGTTATCCTTTATTCCTCAGCCGAGAGGAAATAATAATAATAAAAATAAACAGGGCTGCCAAAAAAAAAAGTTTAAGACTCCCAGCACCACCCAATTCCTAAGCCAAGAAAGGGGCTAGAGGGGAAAAAAGGCGACGCAATTTCACACTCACTGATTTTGCGGTCGACCTGATCGTCCAAGCTGAATTTCCGGACTTCGCTGTTGATCGACTTCTGTTGCCCTAGACGGACCAGGTTGATGTCGCCACAATTCCCTAGATGTCACAAAAAGGCAGGGTTGTGCTGTTTCTCAAGACAGGGTTAGCAAACACCCAATCAAGGTGGGGGTTTTTTTGTTCAACAGTATCAAATTTTATAAACAAGTAAATAGCCATAGCACTTAGACTTATATGCTGCCTTACAGTGCTTTACAGCCCTGAGCTGTTTAGAGTCTGTGTATCAACCCCCCCCCCCATCTAAGTGCTCATTTTACCAAGACATTTCTTAAGTGACACACACACACACACACTCCCCGGGACAGGCAACCATCATAAATATGAGCCAGTTGCCAAACATTCAAATGTTGTTGACGTGACTATGGGGATGCTACAATGGTCTTAAGTGTGAGTAAGAGTCATCAGTCCCTTTTTTCCAGTGCCGTTGTAACTCTGAACGGTCACTAAACGAATGGCTGTTAAGTCACAGTCTCCCTGTGACTTAACAGCCATTGGTATAACTCATCACATTCTTTCAATGTCTTAAACCAGGGGTCTTCAAACTTGGCCCTTTTATGACTTGCGGACTTCAACTCCCAGAATGCCTGGCTGAGGAATTCTGGGAGTTGAAGTCCACCAGTCCTAAAAGGGCCAAGTTTGAAGACCCCGGTCTTAAACCGTGTGCAATTTGCCCTCCAGTCTTCAGTGACTGCTTCCTCCAAATGACAACGGCCACAAATAAATTAAAATTAAAAGGGGGGGAAGGAAAGGCGAGACCCGCTCATACCTAAAGCGTTTTTCTCCCGGTATTTTTTGAATTCCAAAATTATTTTTTTCATGAGGTTATCGATGGCGGCGTTGGAAGGCGCACAAACCAGGATGCGGTTCGTCTTGATCTTGGCGTTCAGCCTCTGGACGGCGTTCTCCTTTCCCGATCGCTGGAGATTAAAAATGACACAAGACGGTCTTGGCTTCGGAATATAAACCTAAGAAATCATGAAACTCTTAAATTTAAAAGAGTTGCTTCGGGAGGAAGGCAATAGCCATCCACTCATTGACAAAGAACCTGTGGGTGTATCCACAGGGGATCCTTGACTTACGACGACAATTTGCTAAGTGAGAATTTTGTTAAGTGAGTTTCGCCCCGTTTTATGACTTTTCCTGCGAATCCCTGCAGTTGTTAAATTAGGAAGACCGTTGTTAAGCGAATCTGGTTTCCCCATGGACTTTTGCTTGTCAGAAGGTCACCAAAGGGGATCACATGACACCCCCAGGGACACTGCGACCATCATAAATATGAGTCATTTGCTAAGCGCCTGAATTTTGATCACCTGACCCATGAGGATGCTGCAAAAATTGTAAGTGCGAGGACTGGCCTAAGCCCCTTTTTTTAAGTGCTGTTGTAACTTTGGTCACTAAATGAATGGTTGAAAGTGGAGGACTACATGTAGTTGATGGAAATCCGTAATTTCACTGGGAAAGACAAATTTATCGTACAGAAAGGAAATCATGGAAACTGGGGAGATAAGGAAAAGATTTGGAGTTTGTAAGTTTAGTCCTACTAAGAAATATGCCTCAGACAGCAGCCATTTTGTAAGTGAGCTCACAACACATTCTCAAAATCCACACTGGCTAAATTCCCCATCTGTCGAGCACGAAGAAATCAGGAGAGTGAGGCAGTATAAAGGTTTATTGCAAGCTTGAGCTCTCTACAAGAATCTTAGCTACTAACGGCCAAGGGAAACGAGTGGGAATTAGGAAGACATTCAAGCTGGGCTGGACACGCAGGGACTCGTGACTGATGATGCGTTTGACCCTTCCCTCGGGCTCAGCCTGGTCATCTCCTACACCACCCTCAACTCAACTCATAATGACCATCAGAACCTGCAACGGGATCCACATGGCCTACCTCATCAAGGATGCGGTGCAGAAGCCCAACGATCACTTTCGATTTCCCGGTCCCAGGTGGTCCATGGATTAAGCAGATCTTGGGTGAAGATGGATGCTGGGTTATCATAGCGTAAGCACTTTCAATAGCTCGCCTCTGCCCTTGGTTGAAGTCCCTCATGTAAGGAAGCTGGGGGAAAAGGGAGGAGGAACAGAATTGCACCAGGTCATCATGTCCATGACCCACTGGAGATGTCTTCTCCCCCAACACATCTGGGTCTGAATCCCTCCTTTCTCCAAATGGCAGAAGTCCAGTTTGGCAAAAGAGTGTCTTGTTTCATACCAGACACAGATTATGAGAAGAGAAAGCAACGGCTTAACATTTTATATCACCATAATATAAAAAAGAGGCTGAGTCTCTAGAAAGAGTACAGAGAAGAGCAACAAAGATCATTAGGGGACTGAAGGCTAAAACATATAAGGAACAGTTGCTGGAATTGGGTGTGTCTAGAAGGATGAGGGGTGACATGATATCGGTCTTCCAATATCTAAGGAGCTACCACAAAGAAGAGGGGGCGGTCAACCTATTCTCCAAAGCATCAGAAGGCAGGACAAGAAGCAACGGATGGACACTCATCAAGAGAGAAGCAACCTGGAACTAAGGAGAAATTTCCTGACAGTGAGAACAATTAATCAGTGGAACATGTTGCCTCCAGAGGTTGTGGGTGTTCCATTACTGGAGGCTTTTAAGAAGAGACTGGACAGCCATGCTGCCTGAGCAGAGGGTTGGACTAGAAGACCTCCAAGATCCCTTCCAACTATGGTGTTCTGTTATTCTGTGAACAACCATCAACATTCTTACCGATTTCTCAGACTCGGCGTTTAAATCTCTCGGGGAGAAGTAGGGGGCACTTGGAGACAGGATGGGCATGGCTAATGGGCTGCGATTCAGCATCAAGAGGGCCTGGAACCTCCGGTGGGTTGTCGCCAAGGAGCTGACCACTATGCATTTCACCTCTTTCTCAATGCGCGAGAGATTTCCTTGAGTCTGGATGGAGAGGTGACAAGTGACCTGTTGTTCCTTCGTTTCTGTTGGGAAAACAGATCAACAAAGAGGATTTACCATCAATGCTTTGTCAGAACTCGTAGACCTTAGGACACCAATCATGGTTTGACCTTCCAAGCACTCAAGACAGCCGTTCCCATTAGAACACAAATCATGATTTGATCTTCCAAGCGCTTAGTAAGAACGTGTCAATGTTAGGACCGAAATCATGATTTGATCTTCCAAGCTCTTAGTTAGAACTCAACATTTGGACCCAAATCATGGTGTGATCTTCTAAGAGGCATTTTTTTAAAAGATGGAGAAAGGAGAACTAGGTCAATTGCCCACCTTGAGTTATTCATAAGAAAGGTAGGATAAAAATAAATAAATTACAGCTCTTTGGACAGCCGCTAGCTTAGACTTTTCCTGTGGCACTGACATGACAAAAAAGCAATCCTCAAAACAGCAATCCACAAATACTTACTAGCATTATGAATGCAAGGATTAGAAAAACGAGTCACGAATCCCACATGCTGAATGGCCCGGTTTTCCCCCTCTCGTTCATCGTAAAACCGTTTGTCAGATACCGTCAGCAAGACCAGGTCATCGTCCTTGGGATGATATTTATTTTCTACATCATGCTGGGAAATATTAGCTGGGGGAAAAAAGAAGGACAATAAAAACACGATCATCCAGTTCTACAGGATTGTTGTTGTTAATTGCGAAGTCGTGTCTGACCCATCGCGACCCCATGGACAATGTTCCTCCAGGTCTTCCTGTCCTCCATCATCTTCTGGAGTCCATTTAAGTTCACACCTACAGGATAGTCCTTGACTTAGAACCACAATGGACCCCAACATGTCTATTGCTAATTCTGCCCCATTTTGTGATCTTTCTCACCACAGGGGGTCTAGCTGTAGTCACATAGTCGTCAAGTGAACCCGGCTTCCCCATTGACTTTGCTCGTCAGAGGGTCGCCAAAGGGGATCACGTGACCCCGGGATGCTGCTGCGACCATCGTAAATATGAACCGGAAGTGTTTGAATTTGGATCACATGACCATGGGGATACCGCCACAGTTTTAAGCATGAAAAATGGTCATTAAGTCACTTTTTTCAGTTCCGCTGAAAATGAATGACTGCAAGGTGAGGGCTCTTCGTAGATCTGTATTTGTGTTTTTTATCTCTTAGCTTACATCTCGTTTTCTGACCTGTGAAATCGGCTTTGTTCAAATCCATGTTGAAATTCAGTAAAGTCAAATGAAAAGACTTGGGCTCTTTCAGCTTCCGATTCTCCATCCAGTCAAATGCTACCTGGAAACGGGGGGGGGGAAAGAAGCCAAACTTGGTTTAACGCATTGTCTGGACAAAAGAGCCCCGCCTTCGCGACACTGTATTTCGCTCCGACGTGGAAATGCTCCTTATTCCGTCGCACCCATGCCTCCAAAGACACACCCATCCCGGTGGGAAACTTCCAGAAGGACATGCACGATGGCATTAAAAGGCATGTAGTCCTCACCAAATTTCTGTGGCTAAGCAAGACATAGGTTAAGTGAGTTTAGCCCCATTTTGCGACCTGTCTTGCTGCAGTGGTTAAGTGGACTCCTGCAGTTCTTAAGCCAGTCACACGGTGGTTAAGTGAACCGGGCTTCTACATTGACTTGTCTTGTCTGAAGGTCGTGACTCTGGGGACACTGCAACTGTCAGAAATAGGAGTCAGTTGCCAAATGTCTGAATTTTGGTCACGTGACCACAGGGATGCCGCAACGGTTGTAAGTATGGAAAATGGTCATACGGTCACTTTTTTGGGGGGGGGTGCTGTTGTAAAGCAGAGGACTACTTGCTTTTAGCCTGAATCTAGTTCCTGGAACTCTGAGTAATCCCACTCAGATTGAATTTAGATGTGGTTTCCATCCAAGACAGAATGTGAATCATGATTTACTGAATAAACCGTCTCATTTGTCCAGCATCTCTTTGAAGACAGGGAGAGCCACCACCCTTGGTTGCCGATTGGTTTCTCTGGCTGAACTCACCGTCTCGTTTTCTAGGCCAGCACCTTAACCACTATCCTTGCAACCCCTAGAGAAGGGAGGTTAATTCATTAGTTACTCATATATAGTTGTCCCACCAGCTTTATATGGTATTGAAGATGCTACTTAGGCAGGTAAGAAAAACAGGTTCACAAAACTTCTGCAGCCCAACATTCTTTCTTAAATGGGCTTACATCCTATTGTGTGTTTTTTTTTTTCCTTTTAGCTCAAAGCAACAAATCTCAGGGGTAGGCAACCTTGGCTCTTTTATGACTCGTGGACTTCAACTCCCAGAATTCCTGAGCCAGCATGGCTCAGCTTGGAAACCTCTCCCTTTTCCCTCAGAATGGCTGGCTCAGGAATTCTGGGAGTTGAAGTCCACGAGTCATAAAAGAGCCAAGGTTGCCTACCCCTGCTCTATCTCATTGTTTCTTGCAGAGGTTTATCGCTTGCTTCCGCTCATGGAAACTATCTTCTTTAATAAGCTAGGAGCTGGGAAAGGGGAAAAAAATAGATCAATAATTCTTTTATGAGCGGTTTATATCAATTATAAATTAGACCTGAGCTTGCTGAGAAATACTTGGGCTTTTAGCTGTTGACTTTCAATAGGAAATGATGAAAGTTTGTGGTCGGCACATACTTCTTCATATAAACAGAATATGGGACTAGAAAGTATGAGAAAAGAGGAAATGACCCCGTGCAATGATAGGTGTGGGAACGGTAGTGAAGTTAAGCAGTGGGTAGAGTAGGAAACTGGCTCGGTAGCCAGGGCAACAGAACAATAGGGAACTAACCAATTGGTCAGTTCCAAGAAAAGGGAACTAGCAATGGTGCTGTTCCAGAAAGTCACGTGTTGGTGGTTTTAACAAGAAAAGGGGAACTGGAATGGTTGCTGAGTGGCTCCAGAAGTTATGGGTGGGCACAGTGGTAAAGTATAAAGATTGCCTTGGAGAGGAGGGTGGTGCCATTTGGGCCACTAAGCCGTCAAAGTCTTGGCTGCTTGTGCATCTGGCCCTCACTGCAATGAGTTACTCAATGTAAGTGACTGTTAAATTTAAATAAACCTCTGGATCCTAAAGTGAGATGTTTGTTGTATATGTCGTGTCTTGTTTCATTTAAACTTTCCCGACAGCCAGCTTGAAATGGGTGAGCAAGACATCTGAATTCCAAAGGTGCTTTTTTTCAAAAAGGCAACTGGATTTCCTTGGGGGTTCCCCCCCCCTTTGAAAACGTTTTTGCTTCTCACCCAAACTGAAGAAGTCAGAACTGAAGAAGCTTCCTGAATGAGAAGTGAAATGTTTTCAAGGGGGAAATAACAACAGCCCTTAGACTGATATATCACTTCACAGTGCTTTTACAGTCCTCTCTAAGCAGTTTACAGAGTCAGCCTGCTGCCCCCCAACAATCTGAAGTCCTCATTTGACTGACCTCGGAAGGAGAGGAGGCTGAATCAATTTTGAACCGGTCAGGATCGAACTGCTGGCAGTGGACAGAGTCAGCCTGCAATACTGAATTTTATCCACTGTGCCACCATGGATGGATGGATGGGTGGATGGATAAGATAGATAGACGGATAGACAGAGAGATAGGAGGTAGATGGATAGGAGAGAGAGAGAGAGAGAGAGAGATAGATAAGATAGGAGATAGACGGATAGATAGATGGATAGAAGATAGATGGCTGGCTGGTTGGAGGGTGGATGAGTGGGTGGATAGGCAGGCAGGTAGACATAGACTTATATACCGCTTCATAGTGCTTTACTGCATTCTCTAAGCGGTTTACAGACTCGGCATAATCTGACTCCTCATTTTACCGACTTTGGAAAAATGGAAGCCCTGCCATACTGCTTTCTAGCCACTGCGCCACCACGGCTCCTCAAGAACGTCCAGTAGCCTTTTCGAAAAGCACCTTTGGGATAACCACGATCTGGATGATTTGAGAATCGCCACAGACATTTAGACATCTGAGATGGTCCTGGAGCAAAAAAGGACCGCTTACCTCTTCAAAGGCGTTGAGCATCATCAAAGGGAAGAAAATCTTAAAATAGTCATCGTAGTTCGGAAACTTGACCGGAACAGAGATAACGAGCGCCTGCAAGAGATGGCTTGGTGGTCCCAGCTCCCTGAAGTTGGCAAACATATCGTAGCTCCACTTCAGGATTTCTTTGGTGAAAATGCTGTGGTCTCTAGGCTGATTGTGAGAACTGTTGACTCGGGCAAAAAATGGGCGTGCCTCCTGGCCCGTGTCAGAGCGTGGAACAGGCATCTTGCTGGCATTACCGACAACATGGCTGTTTTGGGGCTGCGTGGAGACATTATTCATATTGCTAGGGCAAAGGAGATTGGCCAAAGTCAGCTTGGTCCTCAGGCCATCTGCCTTGGAGGTCTTTGCTGCTGCTACATGCGTGGAGCTGGTCTCTAGATCTTTGGAGAGGCTGGCAATCTGAGAAGCAGCACTGGAGCTGAAGATTTTCTTGGTGGAAGGCTTGGGAGGCGCGCAGGGCTTGGCAAAGACGTGGTCTGGAGGGTTAGGCAGAGAATGACCATGGCAGAAGGGACCTGCTCCTTCCATCTTTTTAGGACATCCGGGATGCCTGCAGTTCTCAATGACCTGAGGTGGATCCTGCAAAGTTGGGAGGACCACTGTGTCTTCTGGGTGACTGCTACTGTCCATTTGTGAGCAAAGCTCCATGTCCACCGGATCTCTCTGGGTTAGGAATAAGTCATCCTCATTCTCTTCTGGGTTGAGGTCCTCCTTTAGCCCAGATGCGTTCTCACTCAAGTTCTTGCTACGCTGATCGGAAGAGGAATCTGAGCTGCTGCTGCCAACTTCGCTTGAAGAGCAGACGCTCCCTGGAACAGCGGTGGAACATCCTGGAACATCTGAGTCAGGCTTGAGAGGGTCTTGCCTTGACGAAGGAAGAGCCTCTCTCTCCAGAGGTGCAGAATGGGACCCATCATCCCCTTGTGAATGCTGTGGTAGCAATTCCTTCACATGGTTAGAAGAATGGCTGAACTGGCTAGGCTTTCCTTTTAGATTTTCAACCTCCTCCTTGCTAGTAGACGCCACAGTTGGCTTGAGAAAAGTCCTTTTTGCTCTGGGAACATTGTCTCCTTTCTCCTTCTTCTTGGGTCTTGACTGTCTGAAGAACTGGCGTTCCTGGCTGGCCAACAGCACTTTGTTCCGGATAACCATCCGCTGAGGTTCAATCAGTTTGGCCCTTCTCCTTTTTTGGGGAAGCTGCCCAGCTGCTTTTCCATAGCTGCGCAACTGGGCGACGACGTCGTGAGAACGTTGGGAGAGCTCTGCAGCTCTGCGGGCTCTCTTTTTCAGGCCCAGCTTTTCCACGGTGGACGTTGGCTCGGGAAAATGGTGGACTTTTTTGGGAGGGACCACGAAAGGATGAGGCGATCCAGATGGTGTCGCACAGGGCGATTTTTCAGTCACGAGCCTTCTTTTCTCAGGACTCCGTTGAGCTGTGTTCAGCCACTTGGATTTAGCCAAGCTCTTCCTTGGCCTGGGAGTTGGTTCCAGTGATGGTGTCAAAGGTCTACCAGATGGTGGTGGTAGTAGTGGTGTACTGGAAGTTGAAGCTGAACTCTGTTTGGGAGTCTCCCGACCATCGGCGTGCATGGCTGTGAAATACTTTGAACCAACAGCTGTGCTTCCCTCACCAACATTTTTTTCATCGGCCTGGACAGGAAGTTTCAGTTTGGTTTTATCAATTTTCACCTGCTGTTCCAATTCCTGCTCGTTTTTTTCAATAATGTCATGCCCAAGATGATCTGTGTCATAATCCTGCTCATCAAGGTGCCTAGCCAACTCCAAGTCAGATGAGGCGGACCTGTCAGCTGTCTTTACTGGAAAAACATCTGCCTCCGTTGTCTTGTCCAACTGGCTATCTTGCCAAGCGGAGTAAATCTCCTCTTCAGTTTCAAACTCAAAGCACTGCGATTCACATTCCCCGTACATCAACGGAGAACTGGAAACGGTTATAGCATCTTGTTCGTTAGCCTCGGGGTCTTTCTGAAGGGACACACTCAGATTTTCTTCTTGGCTCCTCTGGCTCAAATTCACTTTGTTCTCTTCTTCGTCGGAAGACAAGTCTGAAATGATGATGACCTGGTTTGAGGGTCTACCTGCTTCAGAAGACAATGTGTGACTTTCACTTTCAGATAAAGACCTCAATGCCCCTTGAACTTTTCTTTGAATAGGATTCTGGTAACTCAAGGTACTTTCTCGACCAGCAACTAAACACAATTTGCCTTTTTTGTCTATTTCGGGCTCCATTGCTTGGACCATCGATTTTTTTCTTATCAGCTCCTTCCTAATCTCCAGCAAGGGGACATTCAGTTCATCGTCTGTGCTACTTTCTTCTGACTCTGCCCCACTTTTCCAAGCGCTCTTAAATTCTGCCAAACTGTCTCTGGGCTCCTTCTTTATGCAAAGTGTTTTAGCTTGAAAGCCATTCTCCAAACTTAGCGCCCAGTTGGACATACAGCTACCATCTCCCGACGTTCTTCTTGTCATTTCTTCCTGATCCTGCTTCTCCTCCTTAATGGACTGCTGCTTTTCACTCTCCGGTCCCAGCTGTCTCTTCCTGTTCTGCACAAACTGTTTTAATTTCAAAGTGAGGTCAGCTTTGTTTGACTTCATTTTCTCGGTGAACTTTTTTGGAATCTGCTTTTCTTCCAAAGCAGAACTGCTGGGCCATTGGTGAAGATCAACGTCGATAATTCTGGGCTTCTCTTCTTTCCCACTGGTATCTTTCTTCTGAACGACTTTGTCGAAACTGCCTTGGTTTAGGGAGCTATTCTGCTTCATCAGTCTTGAATGGGAGCTTCCGCTGTTCTGGGCATCTGTGGGACTCCCTGTTGAGTGCAACATGTGGTCCTCATGTAATAAACTCTCTTTAAGTTCCTGTTTAATGTTGGCCAAATGGAACTCGGAACTTCTCTGATGGCTTTGCTTTCCACAAATGCTTCTCTTTGCTTCCTCCTCCAAGCTATATTTTTTCTCAGACAAAGTTCCTTCTTGAAAAACTTCGTCCTGCCTTCTTGGTGACTGATAGGTTGAGTGTTCTTGGGGAAGATATCCTGGACTTCTCCCCTCCTGTTCGCTAAAGAGACGGGTAGGACTCGCTCCATGGGAGGAAGGACTTGATGACTTAGTCCAGAGGCTTCTTATGATCTCAATCAAGCACGTCTGTAATTCCCGCGCCTGTTGGGGGCTCAGCTTCCAGTCTTCGTGACTACGCCGAAGCAAATTCAGCTCGTCGAGGAATGGGGAGGCCTTCTGCCCCATCTGGTAGCCCTCCTTGAGGAGAAGTCGGATCAAATTCATGCAAGCAGACTGTATAGAATCCGGTTCCCAAGATGGTACTTTTGTTAGACTTCTAGGTCCGTTTCTGGCAAAGTCCTTCTCAGCTCTGCAGGCAAACGCCATACTTGGAAGCCTGGCACACGTCACCACCACCTCCACCCAGTTTTGAGAGCTGACCCACAAAGTGTTGAAGCATTTCTTCTTCAAGTTGAGCTCCACTACCATCACGAGGATCCAGATGAAAAATTGAGACACTTTGTCACAAGGTTGGACGGTGTGGTGAAGGACCTCCTTGACTTCTGAACAGAGGTGTTGGATGACCACCATGCTGTAGGCGACGCCCAGCCCCTTGAGGTCCATCAGGGAATGGACAAAAGGAATGAACCAGAGGAAAGTGCTGTGGTGCAAACGCATGTCCCGCCCGATGTCGTACTGGAACATGTCAGTCAGGGTCTGCATTTCTTCATAAAAGTTGGGGCAGTAGTCCAAGCAAGCAGTAGTCTTCAATCTTGAGTCCTGAAATATAATCCAGACAGTCTGTCAGCTGCTACCTCACATGTTTGCTCTTCGCTATCATGTGGTGACTGCCTGCCATGGACCCTGGGGAGGGGGGACGGGAGGGGGAAAGTGAAAGTCTGTATCTCCCCTAAGAAGCTGTTTCAAGGTCACCTGACTGGGAGAAGGCAGCAGCTGCATGCCAACCTACTTTGAAGTGTCTATTCTGAAAACATCTGGCTTGAACCTGACTAGTTATGGCGGCATCAGCGATGGGAGGCAATTAAGAGAGGGAAAAGTTGAGCTTAGGGACTTTGGCGCACAATTCTCAGTTCTGGCTTTGCACTACTGCAATGTACGTGAGTTCTGATAAAATTATACCTTTCTCAACAAACGGAACCAAGGATTGTTTCTGTCTAGAGGTTTAAGTGGCAGCAGGTCTGGCACAGTCAATGAATGCTTCCACTCATTCCTGGACCACCAATCATTTAAGACATGTTTCTCAACTGTGGCAACGTGAAAATGTGTAGACTTCAGCTCCCCAAATCCCCCAGCATTACAGGTAGTGCTCGAATTACAACTATAATTGAGTCTGAAATCATGGCTGGTTGTGAAGTGGGTCACCACACGACCAATCCCATTTTATGACATTTGACCTTTAAGCAAGCCACCATGGTGGTTAAGAGAATCAGTGCTCATTAAGTGACTCCATGGTCTGAAATGGGCTTTTTTTTTTTTTTAAGGAAGATGGAAGTTAAATTGTGTGACAGCAATGTGCTGCAAACAAATGTAAATGCACCCATAATGCAAGCATGTGATCATGGGTGGCTGTTGCAACTTTGATTCTGGGTTGTAAGTACTTTTTGGGGGGGTTGTCATAACTTCTAAGTTGCTAAGAACTGAACAAAATAAATACCATTTAGGATGTTCGGAATTTACCTTGTGGGGTCTTTCAAGGTTGTAGTTATATACAATCTGGCTGCAGGTAACTGTTTCATCCCTGTAGTCCAATAATGGCTCTGATTTTGTCCTGCAAAAGGATGAAAAGCATCAAAGAAATATGAAAAGCAGCATGTTTTTGAATTCAATGTCCCAGTTTACAACCAGGAACAATTAAAAAAAAGTTATGCTTACCTTCCTGACACCTGGAATAAGAGCCATTGATGGCATGGTTATTGGTCAATTGGAAATCTTTTACTTATTTACTTCCTGCCTGTGTTAATTTTACAAATGATCAACTTGGCCCTTTGTGGACTCCAACTCCCAGAATTCCTCAGCTCAACTCCACAAGTCATCGAAGGGCCAAGTTTGAAGACCCCTGCTTTTTAGATTGTCCCAAACAGAGAGAATTGCTTGAAAATCGATAAGGAAAGGACCTAACGCCACGGATACCTTCCTTAAATCTGATTTTCCAGATTTCTATCATTAGACCAAAGTAAAAGGCACAGACCTGGAGCAATTTCGGCGAATGTTCTCTATTTCCTTCTTATAGCTTGCGTTGTTGATGATCGCCTGAAACGCCTGGACCGGATCCACCAACTGACCCCACACTTTGGACCCCAACTTATCCAGGATCACCATGAAACAGTGGAGGACGGGCCAAAAGGGGTCATTGATTTCATCTGGAATAACAAAAAAAAAAAAACCCACCACATTACATTTATTTAAACATCAAAGTATATAAATGACCAAAGGCTTTCCCCAAAACTGTAGAAAGTTGATGTTTTTGCATCAATTTTTGGTGAACAACCCGTCACATAGCCACCATTTGAACTTATGAAGGACCTCCAAAAGGTATTTATGACCCAAATTTGAAGTTCTGACATCCACTTACCCTCCCCCAAAGTCACAGGATTGTGTTTTGTCTGCATTTAGGACTGTTTGCAGCATCCCACAGTCATGTTTCTGGCAAAACAAAAAAACAAAACAAAACAAAAAAAACCCCGCCCATTGCAAACAAGTGATTCATTTAAAGACTGCTGCAAAAATGTCATAAAATCAGGTTGGAGATGTGATGATGACCTCCTTAAAAATTGCCACGACTTGCAACTGTAATTCCAGGGTCATTTACCGTCATAAACTTTACACACATGTTATTAAATAAACCATTCAGTCTAAAGGAATAACCCCGGCCTCTAATTTATTTGATCACAGCCTCCAAAATTTATTCATTGATTACCATCTGTCTGCTTTTTCATGGTGTTCATGATGGACTGCATGAAATTCTGCTTGTCTGGTCCGAGCAGCATTGAATCCATTGCTTGTTCTTCTAGCACCGAGAGCAGCATACAGAGACCTGCATGAAAATAGCCCAAAATCACCGTTAATTGGCCGTTTTGTGCAAGGTTTGGCAATCCACAAGCTTCTTCCTTACAATCAAACTTAATCAGAATAGAGCTGGAAGAGACCTTGGGGGTCTTCTAGTCAAAGGGAAGGGAAGGGAAGGAAGGAAGGAAAAGAAAGGGGAAGGAAAGAAAGAAAAGGAAAGGAAATGAGGAAGGAAGGAAGGAGGGAGGGAGGGAGGAAGGAAGGAAGGAAGGAAGGAAGGAAGGAAGGAAGGAAGGAAGGAAGGGAAAGAAAGGGGAAGGAAGGGGAAGGAAGGAAGAAAAGAAAGGAAAGGAAAGCCGGAACAGGCTAAACCCAAATTCTCATAAAACTTGCCATCTTCTCTACTTACCAAGCCAATAGTTTTTGTAATTGCTGGTGTCGTACAGATGGGGAGGCAACAGGATCAGCTTGGTTTTCTCAATCCCTGGGGAGCTATAAATATCCGGGTTTTCAAAGAGGCCCAGTTCCACGACTTTGAACAAACAGATCATCACTTCTTGGATGTCGTAATAATCGTCCCGGTCGACTTTGCCCAGGTTTCTAGCAGTCAGGATGGCCCACCGGCGGATCTGGGGATTGGAAGCACTGAGGTCTGATTTTAAGCCACTGTTTTTGGCCCTATCGTAACTGAGCAGTCATTAAATGAACGGGTATAAGCCAAGGACCCTGTACACCTAGATTTCTTTTATTCACTAATCAAATGTATTCGATTCGGTGACTCTAGGCGGCTTATGGACATTGAACAAAATGCAGCATAAAATACACCCAAGGCCCCCTTCCAACTCTGCTATTGTGTTATTCTGTTAATCAGGAAGGGTCTTAAATTGACAAAAAATGCAATTAAAATTGCAGCTCGCATTTTTGCCTCTTTCTAGAAGCACAACCAGCAAAAATAATGCCCCCTCTTTAAACGTTTACTGTTAATGTCAGAATCTTGAACTCTAGCTCTGTTACTCCCAAGGAAGCCAGGTTTCCAAACCAAGATTTGCTCCTGGCCAAATTGGTTCAGGGGCAAACTATATGAATGAATAAATAAAAATCAACCTTGCAGATTCACGCATCTAAATAGGAAGAGGTTTACCACACTGGAGAGCTTCCTGGGTACAAGGCTCACAGCGTTTGCTACAGGAATATAGACAATTTAGCTCTGGAGGGTGAAAGGAAATAACCAGAGTCAACTCACCATCTCATTGGGATGCACCATGAGTAAATAGATACCGGGATGTTTGCCAACCACTTGGTAGGAGTAGTTCATTTCCTCCATTTTGCAAAGAGCATCTACGCACAGCTCGCCTGCAGAGAGAGGAAACCACGAAAATCAAGCAGAGCTCAAAAGCTACGAGATGTTATGCATCCTTCAGAGAGCAAAGCTGCACTCAAAATAATAATAATGCTATTTCTGTGGCATAAAGCATTGGGGTTTTTTTTATTCATTTTCAGTCTCCAAGGTCAAAGCTGGCACCTGCTTCTAAATCTTTGCTTGTTATTTATTTCAGCCTTCCCCAAATAAATTTTGAAAAGCTTATCTTTCAATGGATAGGATCGCTGAAAGATGGGGGGGGGGAGGTCAGAGAAACAGAGGAGAAATATTATCTGTCTTTTCACACCTCCTGCCTACTCGGCTTGTAGCACCCTTGCACGCTCTATTTTTATGCCAGCTGTGAAGAAAACCCAAGATGAGTTTTATCTAGAAAAAGCTGAAGGATGATTAGAAGGCTGAAGAGATGCTATGAAGATGCTGTAAAGCAGGAGTGCTGAAAAGATTTGTTTCAAATCTGCAGCTATAATGGCAGAAGCTGGACAAAACAAGAAGCCACAATACCCAGGAGCAAAGATCAATTCTTCAGAGCTGGATTCAGGAAAGAAAGAATCTCTGAATCCAGTGATTTGGGAAGCTAAGAAGAAAAGCCTTAGACAACTTGATTCCTATGGTCCTAATACTTAAATCAGGAGTCACCAAACTTGGCAATTTTAAGACTTTGTAGACTTCAAAGTAATTCCCAGAATTACTCAGCCAGGCAGTCTTAAAGTCGCCAGGCTTGGAGATTCCTGCTTAGATGAAACTGTTCTGTCTACAATACAAATTAAAAAAAACTAGGTAACATCATCAGTGCATCGAGGACCTCACAGTCCTCCTCCTCTTCCACTCCACAACCCCACCTTCTCTTCTAGCACAGATGATGTTACCTAGTTGGGTAATGAAACGTCTGCAAAAAAAAACCAAGCTCAGAGAGCAACAAGGATGGGATAAAACTCGGCTCAAGCAGACTGTGGTAGCCTCTGCTCATCAAGTGGGTCAAGAATCTCCCTTCGAAACTCACTGAGGTGTTCATGAAGTAGCAGGTAGGGGTACTTGAGGACTTCCAGCAAGGGCACCCGGAGACGTTTCTCAAAATTAGGCCCCGTGTAACAGGAGATCAAGGGGGTGATCCTGTCCTCCTCCACCAAGTACAGGTCATTTTCATTGTCTTCTTGCATGGATTTCTCAAAGCGGTCGACAAGACGGGAAACTTCCCGATCCCACAGGATCTGCGGTTGGAAACACAAAGGACAAATTCTAGAAGAGTGCCCCAGAGTGCTGAAAAGAAATAATAATAACAACAACAACTGATTTATGGATCTGGAGATTAAGAAAGAGGTCGATTGGGTGAAGGGATTTGCGAAATATTTAAGAGGTAGGAGGAACAGTGTGAATATAATTCTCAGCTGAAAAATAGGAGAGAAGTCATTGATATGATGATGATGTTGGAAGGGACCTTGGAGGTCATCTAGTCCAACCCCCTGCTCAGGCAGGAAACCCTGTATCATTTCAGACAAATGGCTGTCCAGTCTCTTCTTAAAAACTTCCAGTGTTTTTTATATTTAATTTAATTTCAGTTTTTCTTTCGGTTTGCCTTTTCTTCTAGGAATATTCTCCATAAATATAAAAAATAGAAGAGCACCATAGAGCATAGATTCAAAAGTCTGGAAGGGACTTTGGGGGGTCTTCTAGTCCAACCCGCTTTGCTGGCTGAGGAATTCTGGGAATTGAAGTCCACAAATCTTAAAAGTTGCCACGGTTGGAGACCCCTGCTCTATACAAGTCATCCATCTGGCAAAGATTGAGGGGGGGGTAAACCCCAGAAAAGACTTTATTTAGAGCTGTTCTTGAAAATGCACGACTTGAAATGGACACAATGTTAAAAGGAAAAATCCAACCCAAACTTTAAACCAAGGATAAATAAACTGAAGTATCAAAGTGAAAGCAACTAACAAGATACAAAAGATGGGAGTAGCAAGATTAAAATCAGTTCATTAAAAACAAAAAGTTTTTTTTTTCAAGGTATGTTTTTTCTTAAAAAAAGAGAAAAACTTACTTTTATTTCTGAGTTGAATACCAGAAAAAAAAAAGATTATAACACAGCGATGATATAAGAATCAGCCAAATGCCAAGTTCACCCAAGTGGACTGTACGGCCAGAATCGGGGTACCTGGTGCAAAGACGGGACTTCATCTCTTGCCTTGTGGTACTCCTCCACGCATTCCAGACAGTAACAGAGGTCCTCGTTGGCTGCGGCAACATCCTTCGGAGACAGGGCAGACGAGGCGTAACTTGTTAGTAGCTTGATGGTGGTGAGACCACCTGGTGTACACCAGCAACATGTACTCATTCTACTGGGAGAAAAAAAAAGATGTCCCGATAGAAGAGAATATTTGTAGCTTCGGGGTTCAAATGGTGTTCTCTGAGCTTAGTGGTTTTCTTGCAGACGTTTCATTACCCAACTAGGGAACATCATTAGTGCTAGAAGGGAGTGGTGTTTGTGGAGTGGAAGAGGACTGTGGGATCCTTGGTGCTCTCAGAGCTTGGTTGTTTCTTGTCCTGACATCTGTTACTAAGCAGCTCCTTATCATTTTTGGTGTATGGTGGCTTCTGGGTCCAAAAAACAAAACAAAACCCATAGCAAAACTCTCCCAAATTGAAACTTATGTAAGTTTTTCTCTTAGGAATCCTTCAAGTCTCCTTCCTTGTACAGATATAAATTCATATTATCTCTAAATTTGTTTTCTTTATGACAGAGGGGATAGTGTGTGCATATATATATAGGTATGTATGAGAAAGAGATTGTGTTTTTTTCCATAAAAGAGATTGGATATATATAGATAGGAGTGCATTTAAGTTTATGAATACAACTTAATACCAAACAGTAAATAATTACTGCAACTTTTTTTTTTTTGGTCTTATCTCTGCCGTTCCAGCACTTTGTTAGGGGAAAATTCAGCTCTAAGGGGACCATTGTATTGCCTCTGGGAATTTTCAATCCTTCGAGGTCAGAGTAAAAGTAATGAGATAGCGTACACAGCTGGCTTTAACTAATTGGGGGGAGGGAGGGAGAGAGAGGACAGAGAAAAAGAGAGAAAAAGAGAGAAAGGGGGGGAGAGAAGGAGGTTAGTGAGCCCCCCTTGCAGACTGGGAGCCAATTTCCATGCCTTGGAGCCCCTTCCTCTCCTCTCCCTTTTCTTCCAAAGGGGAAAAACACACATTGACTTCCATGGGATCCACGTTGCCTTTAGCAGCTCTCAACCCTCTCCTTAACTTTCCTGCCAAGGGGAAAAACAAGGTTCATCTCTATGGGGGTGAAGTGGCCTTTAAGGGTGTGTGTGTGTGTGTGTGTTAATTTGCATGCTTTTGAACTCCTCCTTTCTTTCCTGCAAAAACAGATTCGCCTCTATTGAGGGATGTGTGTGTGTGTGTGTGTGTGTGTGTCAAGTGGACTTTAGGGGCGAATTTGCATGCCTTTGAATGCTTCCTCCTCATTCTTCCCCAGCCCCCCTACACACCCACACCCACACTTTGCTGCAAAGGGGAAAACCACAACTCTATGGGGTCCACCTTGCATTTGAGGTGCTGCTTTCCCTGCATTTGGCCCTCCCTCCCCCAGCCTCCCTTTCCTGCAAAGGGGGCTCAGCTTGGCCTCTCTATGGGGAGGGGGTGCAAAGGAAACCCTGAACAGGAGATGAACTCTAAGGGGGCCAGACCTGGGGTGGGTGGCGGGCTCCCCTCCCCTAATATGCTGGCACCCCTGGAGAAGGGGAAAATTGAACTGGGAGGGGGGGAGGCGACTTGCCCCCCTCCACCTCTTGGGTGGAGACAGAGACTCGCTTTACCGTCCCTTTAAAACGTTCGCTCAGCGGCCCCCGTTCCAAGGAAATGGGGCGGCCCGCAGCTCCCCACAGAGCCAATTCTCTGCGAAGACAGGTGAATGCGGCGTCGTGGGAATGGGTTACACCGGTTCGGGGGGGGGGGGCTTCAGGCCTCTGAGGTAAAGAGGGGGGGGAGCCACGCGCCATTTCCTGGGCTATGAGGGGGAGGGGAGAGAGGAAGCCCCTCCCTCAGGCGCCCCCCTCAGCTCCCCCCGCCCCTTCGGCGGCCCCTGACCTCTCCCTCCGGGTCCTCGGGTGGGCAGCCGCCGGCCCCACACCGCTGCCATGAGCCCCCCGCCGCCGCCACAACTCCTCGCCCGCCGGTGCCAAGACCCGGCGCTTCCTTCAGGACTCCTTCCGGTGCGGCAGGCCGCGTCCCCGGCCTGGCTTCCGCCGCGGCAAGCCCCACCCCGGCGTGGGATTGGCCGCCGCCGCCGCCGCGCGCTCGCCATGCCTTTGCCGGCACCATAGAGACGAAAGGGGATGCAAAGGAGCGTCCCCACCCCGCCTTGGATCCTTTTTATCCGCCGGGAAGGGCCTAGAGCTAGAAACAGGAAGAGGGGGAAGTCAATCGCCTGCTTCCGGGATTGTCGAACGCACAAAGATTCCTAGAAGCATGAAAAGTTTAGAGCAGCCTTTTTCTCGAAATCGAGGCCCGGAGTCCAAAGGCGTCCCATGGCCGCTCTTTTGAGGCCGGGCTTCGCGGACGGTTATCGCGCCCCCCACAGGGGAAGAATGAAAGAGCCAGTTCACGTATCCACAAAGTGTTTCTATGATCAGTAAGGGAGAAAACGTCGTTGGGCGCTCTTGCCCCCCTCCTCTATGCTTCCTCTGCAGAGAGGTGGAAGTGGTATAAGAGCCGGAAGTTGGGGCAAGCGGCATGTTTGCCTGCTAGGAGAAAGCCGGGGGTCTTCGCGTGCTGGCCTCCCTGGGGAGGATCTTGAGTGGGGGGCGAGCCTAAAGACCGGCGGCATGCAAGTCTCACTAGTTGCAATTTTTTTTTAATGTTTGCAATTAATGTTTGCAATTTATATTTGCAGATCCAGCCTTAAAATCCCAGGATTGCAAATCGAGCATTGCAGTTGCAAATTGAGCGCTTGCCATTCAGGGTTGTAAAGCCAGCAACTGCCATTCAGGTTTGCAAATGGAGTTTTGCAGCATAGGGTTTTGTCTAAAGGAGAAACGGCCACGAACAATTCCTTCCTTCCTTCCTTCCTTCCTTTTTTTTAGAATTTATGATCAGATTTCTTGTGACTTCAAACAGTCGCTAAATGAACTGCTTTAAATCAAGGGCTGCCTGTAATTCAGCATTTACAGATCACAACATTTAGAAATAATTCAGGATGGTGCCGGGTGTTCAGATTTGGAAAGCAAGAGAAAGCCGCTTTGGGGTTGAAATATTTGGGGGTGCATACCCTTCTGCTTGTACCGCTGATGGGAGTTGTAGTCCGGAGACACCCTGAGAGCATCTGGAGGCTTTATAGGATAGCTTGGGATATTCCCTGTGTGACTGTAATCTGATTTTTCTTTGTATTCCTTTAAATTCTGGGAGTTTTGTTACTGTTTCAAGCTTAGCGGTTGGTGTTTAAGTCCTCTTTTAGATACATTGGAGTCCTTAATATGTTTTGATGTTTGCTTATCCTTGCATAGCAATTCAAAACTGGTCTGATAATGCTGGCAACATTTAAACTCTTTTGTCTGTTTATGTTTACGTGGTGGCCTCTCCAGAGCAGTTTATAGTAGAAACAGTTCTTCTGCCTCTGCAGGCGTGTAAGCATTCAGAGCTTCCAACTGCATTCAGACTAGGAAGGAGGGTTTCCTTAACCTTCTGTTTTCCCATCTTGATAGCTCTAGGAGGGGTGGACTTCAACTCCCAGAATTCCCGAGCCACCATGCTTAAAATCTCCAAAGTTCTTCCTTTCTGGCTTTATGGATATTATAGAAGGACAAGTAGATCTTAGGACCATTTTTAAAACAAAGGTTCAAAGCTGTCTGTCCCAAATTCCGAATCAGGCGCTCCAATGGACGAGATGACTTAATGCAATTCCTTCAGATTTGCAACGGCACTGGAAAAAAGTGACTTTCACACTTATGACCGCTGCCGCATCCCCAGGGTCAGGTGATTTACATTTGGACACTTGGCAACTGACTCGTATTTACGACGGTTGCAGCGTCCCGGGGGGGGTGTCATGTCATCCCCTTTGGCGACCTTCTGACAAGCAAAATCAACCCGGGAAGCCGGATTCACGTAACAGCCGCGTCACTCCCTTAACAACTGCAGTGATTCACTTAAGAACCCTGGCAAGGATGGTCGTAAGATGGGGCAAAATTCACTTAACGAATGTTCTCCCTTAGGAGCAGAAATTTGGGGCTGGCATGTTGTCATAAGCCGAGGGCTACTTGTGATTTATTTATTTATTTTTTAGGCTCCCTCTGGGTGATGAGTTTTCACTTATCTCTCTCCTTGCTTTTTAAGCAGAATGATGAACGAGCTGGATATGGTGCTGGTAGAGAACACGCAAGAGTCCAGCTACAAAAAGAAGACAAAGAAGTTACGGAAGCGCCATCGAGAAGAGCTCAGACAGCCAGTTGTGTCTTCTGATCTGTTATCCCATTCTTCCCAGGATACAGGAGACTCTCAGCCCAGCAGAAAAAAACATAAGAAGAAAAAATCCAGTACGGAAGCCACTGACTACCAGGCAGATACTTCCTGGGTCATCCCCGAGACTCAGCTGAGCGATGAGCCTGAAATAAACAATTTTGTGCCCAAGAAGAAGAAGAAGAAGATGAAACACAGACTTAAACAGGGTGGTGATGATGAGTTTTGGAGCCCACCAACTGAAAAAAAATCCAGAAAACCATCCCGAAAAGAGGACTTGGAAAATGGGGGTGGTGTGAAGGATGATGAATTTTGGAACCTATCAACTCCCAAAAAATCCAGAAAACTGTCCCAGAATGAGGACTTGGAAAATGGGGGTGTTGTTGATGGGAATATGTCATCTCTTAAGAAGAAGAATAAAAAGAAGAAGAGGAAACGAAGGGAGGATGTTGATGTCTCTGATGGACCTGCGAAAGAGAAGGTTGAGGCCACAAGTTCCCAACAAGAGGATCAGGTGGACCTCAACGAAACAATAGACACGCAGATGGACCTCTTTGCCTCCTCACCTTTATCCTTCTCAGAGAGAGCACAACTGGACCTTCTCCAGGGGAATGGTCAAGAAGGAACCCATTCTCCCACTGCTGAGGATTCCGATGCTACTCAGATGGACCTGGAGACGGAACAGAAGCAACCTCAATCACCGTCAAAATTGTCCACCTCAGAAGTAAACACCAAGTAAGTTCTTCTGGTACCTCTTGATTGTCGTCATCTAGATTAGAAGAGGTGGTAGAACTTTGGGGTTTGGAAAGTGTCCTTTGGGAGTTTCTGGTGCAACAAAAACGGTGGTGGACCTAAACTTCATCGGCCTCGGGCATGTTCAAGACAGAGGAGTGGAGGTTTCGCTCTTTCACTAACCTCTAGTCCCGGTGTCTTCAAACTTGGCCCTTTTATGACTTGTGGACTTCAACTCCCAGAATTCCTCAAGTCAGGTTTTTTGGGGGCAAGATGGTGACATTGTAAAACTTAGAGGGTTGTAAAGCACCGTGAAACGGTATATAAATCTAAGTGCTATTGCTATCATGTTTAGAGGCCTAGCCCAGGGAGCGTTCAGCCATGCTGCAGATGGATGGATGGACGGACGGGATGACAGACAGAGAAAGATGATGGATGGATGGATGGATGATGGGATGGGATGACAGAGAAAGATGATGAATGGATGGATGGACGGACAGATGGGATGACAGACAGAGAAAGATGATGGATGGATGGATGGACGGATGATGGGATGTCAGAAAGAGAAAGATGATGGTGGATGGATGGTGGATGGATGGATGGGATGACAAAAAGATGAATGGATGGGATGACAGAGAAAGATGATGGATGGATGGGATGACAGAAAAAGTGGATGGATGGATATGGATGGATAGCTAGAGAGATAACCTTCAGATAGATGGATGAGATGACAGAAAAAGATACGTACATAGATACATACAGATACATAGATAACCTTTATTGTCATTTTTGGGCACAATGGCATACATTAAAAATGAAATTTAGTTGCTCTCAAAGTGTAACGCACATTTAAACATACTATCTACAACATATGTATAGACCTACACCCTTACACATAAGTAACATAATAATCACTGTCCTTCTTGAATACATTACGGAAGGAGGAAGCTTTACTGTTCACAAAGTTAATATGTCCTGGAAGGGGGCAGCTGTGCTACATTTAAATAACTATTAATGCCCGATTTTGATCTCCCAACAGGTTGGGTCAATCCCAAACGGGTAGGAAACTGCGATCGTCACGCAAACGGCCCCCTTCCGAAACAGATTCCGTAGATGAAGTGAGGGACTTCAGTGTTCTGAATAAGGAACAACTGGCGGATGCCCGAAAAGAACTAGAGGAATTCCTCCCTCGTGCGAAGACTTTGTCGGATGAGGCGATCAGGAAACTGGCTATACGGGATCTACCCAGGTTTCGGGAATTTAAGAAAAAAGGTGCATGTCTGAAAGCAACCAGTTTAAACACTGGAGTGTAAACAATCTCTAGGCAAGATAATACCTTGTTGTTGTTGCGTATTAAAATCATAGAATGGTATTACTTGTGTCTTGTTATAGTACAGGTGGTCCTCAATTTACAGCCAAATTTTGAACCCAAATTTTAATTTGCTAAGCGAGAAAAGAGGGCTAGCCGATTGCGAAGCTAGTCTGAAATTTTCTTGGGAGACGTTATTTGATTCTCCGGTTTCCATCTCACAGGGCTGAAGGTGAAATTCGGCGTCTTCTCCCAAGCGGAAAACGACTTATTGGTAGAGAACATGGCAGCCTTTTTGGAAATAAGCGGGGTCGACACGGCGGAAAAGCTGCTGTTCTCGCACCGGTTCCCAGCGGAGGAAGCAGAAATCAAGAGGCTGAAGTTGAAGTATTCATTTTGCGAGAGAATCGGTGAGTTTTGGCCAACTTCCTTCCCTCCATAAGCAGAAGGAGCTCCCCCCAAAGAGGTGCCCAGCCAGGTGTCATTAGGCTAGTCAAACGTTATTCCTAACAAAAAATAATTCTGGCTTAAAAGTCTGTTTGTTTTTTTTAGATGTCGTTCTTGTTTCCCTGGTTGGTTCAGGTCGTTTGTGCGAGTCCTAAACGTGGTTCTAATCCTTCCGTCGTTTTGCCCACAGCTCGGGGTATCGCTCGGCCCTGGAGACTGGTGTATTACCGGGCCAGGAAAATATTTGATCCTCAGAATTATAATGGATGGTAAGAAAAGAAATACATACATACATACATACATACATACATACATACATACATATCTTATTCTTTAGTAGAAGTCACCGTGGAAATTTTCTGTAGGAGAGAGATGATGTTACCTAGTTGGGTCATGAAACGTCTGCAAAAAAACAAGCAAGCTCAGAGAGCAACATTTCTCCTCCTCCACCACCTTCCTAAAAAAAAACCTCTTCTAGCACTGATGATGTCCCCTAGTTGGGTAATGAAACGTCTACAAGAAAATAACCAAACTCAGAGAGCACCAAGAACCTCACAGTTCTCTTCCTCCTCCTTACAAACCTCACTCCCTTCTAGCACTGATGACGTTACCTAGTTGGGCCATGAAACGTCTGCAAGAAAACCAGCCAGCTCAGAGAGCACCCAGGACCCCCACAGTTCAACCCTGAAGCCACAAAGATTCCCCTTTATTAATAAGATTTTCCCTTTTTCAATTCAAGCTCCTCTCACGGCGAAGCAACTGCTTTAACTCTCCTGACGTCTTTTTCAGGTACACAAAGGAAGAGAAGAAGCAGCTTTTTAAGTATCACGCCATGTATGGAAATAGATGGAAAAAAATCTCGGGGCTCATGAACCGAAGCAGTCACTCGATTGCCTTGAAATATAACGAGATGGTAGAGGGTAGGTTGATATCTGTCCTCCCCCACTCCAATTCCCTCCAACCCCCTCTTCTAAATTCCAGATTCCCCACACAGGAAGTCCTTGACTTACAGCCATTCGTTTAGTGACCGTTCAAACTTACAACAGCACTGAAAAAAAATGACTTAGGACCATTTTTCACACTTACAACCCCAGGGTCATGTGATCAGCAGTCGGACCCTCGGCAACTGGCTCGTATTTATGATGGTCGCAGCGTCCCGGGGTTGCGTGATCCCTTTTCACGACCTTCTGACAAAGCAAAGTCAATAGGGAAGCCAGATTCCTTGAACAAAGGTGTGACTAGCTTAATAATTGCGGCGATTCTCTTCACAACCGTGGCCAGGGAGGTCGTAAAATGGGGCAAAGGTCTCGCTTAGCAATGTCCACTTTTGGACTCCACTGCGGCCGTACGTCAGGACTGCCTGTCCTTGTCCTTCACACCAGTCGGGATCTGATGCATCCTGATCGTCATTTTCTGTCACCTCTTGTGTGTTGTGTGTGTGTGTCCAAATAACGTGTGCAGTCTTCAACACCGGCCCTTGGACTCCAGAAGAGACCGGGAGGCTCCTTCAGGCGCTCAGAGATATCCTGAGAACGAAAGTGAGCGGGCTGGATTCAGCCTTGGAGAAGAGGGACGGCGACGGGGCGCTCACCCTTCTGCGAGAAAATCTCTACAAGAACATTGGCTGGGTGAAAGTGGCAGCCAAGGTGGAGACCCGCAACTGGAGTCAGTGTAAAAAGAAATGGTGAGGTTTCGCGGGATGTGGGATCCAGGCCTCGAACAAGGATAACCCAAGGAACAATGTCCCCCTTTTTAATGTGTGTTGAGTGTAACCAGAGATCAACTTTCGTCAAGATGGACAGCCCTGTCTGTCCACAGTAACCCAAAAGGTGGGGTTGTGGACGGAGCAGGGGGTGGGGCCAGTTTTTGGGCACTCAGTCTCTAAAAGGTTCGCCATCACTGGCATAAGCCCTCAGGACCTCCCTCATCCTGGCTGGGCAGTGCCCCCTCTGGATTTTGCATAGAGCAGATGGGCCATTGAAGAAAGGCAGGCAGAACCCGGGTGGGAGTCAAGCGAGCAATCAGCCTGGAATCATTACGTTCCCACAAGCGGTCTAAGTCGAACCGCTCTTGAATTCTGTTCATTCTTTTCCAGGGCTGATTGAGCGTTGATCAATGAATTGGCTAAACTGTTGTGCATGGGCCTGAGTAATACATCAATTTAACTGGAACGTAATGGCTGGTCTCGATTCGTCAGGATTACTACTGCTTGTAATCACTCCCTTTTCTTCCTTTTTGAAGGATGTCGATCCTAACGAAGAAAATGACGGGGAAATCGCGGCTCAGCGGCTTGAACAACTTGCAGTTTAAGATCGATCTGATTGAAAGGTGCTAAAAGAGTTTGTGTTGCAGGGTATTTCTCAATATTTTTATTTAAAGCAAACGTTCGTGTGGGTGTTGTTTTTTTTAAAAAGGGGGATAATGCCTATCAATTGACAGGTGACCATTGGAGATGTACAATTCATGCTTGAGATAACGTTAATAAAATATTAAAGCAGGAGTCGTCATCGTGAACTTGGACGGAGAACTGTTCCGTCTTGATGTAACTTTTTTTTAAGTCGACGCATTAACGAAGGTTTTGTCTTGCGGAATTTCAGATTGTACGAACTGAACGTTGCTGACACCAGTGAAGTTGATTGGGAACAGATCGCCGGCGCTATTGGGTAAATAGCTAGAATAAGTCTCAAAGAATCAATAAGCTCACCGCTAATTTTATGGCTGTCCCAAGCCTACATCGCCAATAAAAAGCGTTCGAAAATTTAAAAAACGAAGACGAGATAATATTTGACGATTGGTGGTGAATTATCAGTAGCCTGCAGTTTTTTTCTTCTTTTTGTCCATCTGCTGGCCTCTTTGTGACTTGTTTTTTTTAAACCTTTCTCATTCCTCCCAGGAACGCTCCTCCAGAATATGTCCAAAGCAGATATTACCGACTCAAGTCATCGCATGTTCCTTTCTGGTATGAGAAGACTTTCCCAGGTGAGTTTTTTTGGATCCTGTCGGCCTTGCAAAAAGATGAAGGAAATTCTGTTGCTGAACAGAAATGTCCTCTTTCTCTTTTCTGCCGGCTTCGAGACGGCTTACACGCCTATTGGTACAAGCGTGCAAAGCCCGATGGCTAAAATGTGGCTGAGACGCTGGTGGCAGCCCGTTTCAAATCCTCATTTCATTCCTGTTATTTGGAACGAAAACGGCTTAGAAATGATTGGTGTTATGAGGGGGGAGGGATCAGATAGTTTGGGGGAATTAATAATAGTAAAGTTGGAAGGGACCTTGGAGGTCATCTAGTCCAACCCCCTGCTCAGGCAGGAAATTGTATCAGAAGGTCGCAAAAGACCCTGGGACACTGTAACCGTCGTAAGTACGAGTCAGTTGCCAACTTCCAAGTTTTGCTCACGTGACCCTGGGGAGGCTGCACCGGTCGTTAAATGTAAAAAAACGGTCGTGCATCACATGGTAACTTGGACTGTCACTAAATGAATTGTTGTAAGTCGAGGACTGCCTGTACTTTATTGTAAAGCCATATTAACCAAATTCTGCCAGATTTCCCACCGTTGTCTTTACAGGCTGAGAATTTAAGGACGTTCTTTTCTGTTCTTCTTTCTCGGTCTGTTCTGCAGCCGCGGGCCCTGCAGCCCCTTATCTGATCCTTTTCCCGGCCAGCATCTCTCCACGCTGTCTTCCACGATTTGTTCTCACATACTCTTACAATCAGGCCCCATGTGGTTCCCCTTCCCAGAATCCTCATCCCTCCTTGGTGATCGTCCAGGCCATTGACCCAAATGTCCTGGTTCTTCCCTTAGAAATTATCGACTACCTGTTTGAAGAGACGCTGCCCGACTTGAAGAAAAACAGGAAGAGGATGATCCGAAGACGGAGGAATCCGCAGGAGGAAAAGAGCTGTAAGACGTCCTTCCGGTTCAATGACATTTTCCAGGATCTGCTGGAGGAGGAAGAGTTATCTTCGGAGGATGACAGCGAGGAAGTGACTGGAGAAACAAGTCAGGCCGATGGCTGAGATGCCACTGACCCTCTTCCTTAACAAATGCCACTGACGGGGAGCAGAGAAGGGAACATTCTGGATATTGTGGAATGGGGAAAGACCACGGGGGATTCTCCTTCGCTTCCTGCCTTTTTTTTTTTTTTTTAAGAGAGGAAAATAATATATAAATATATCTGACTTTTGATAGGCGCTGTTTCTGAGGTTTAGGAGAATGTTGGGTTCCACAGAAGGGAAAAACCCTGTTCGGGCTCGTGGCAGATTCTCCATTGCTGGCAAATGGATTTGCAAAGGTGTGGGATTCACACACACACACACCCCAAAAAGGGGGGGGGGATTAGGAAACTCCCCAAAGGACCCTAGAGCTGGTAGGATGGTGTTGACGTCTTCAAGCTGATATTCAATCCTTGGAAAAGGGAAGTCTCCGGGAGCTCAGCATGGTGCGATTGCCATTCTTCCAGGTTGTGTTAGCAACAGCATTTGTGCTGAAGTCACAAGTTCTGTTTTTTTGCTTTGTGTGTGTGTGTGAATCCTTACTCTTCTTAGAGGAACATTGGAGTATCTTCCCTCCATCAGCCATTTTTTCTCCCCAAGTGCCAAACTTCTCCGTCTTCCTCAAAAAGTCTCTTTTCTCAGGGCCAAATCTGGTGGTATTTCAAGCTTGCCTTTATTATGAGATTTGAGCCGTTAAATAACGCGTTTTTTTTTAACAGAACGTTGGCTTTTGCTGGGCAAACCAGCCAGGGATTTCAGGGCTGGTCCCAAGGGCAGGAAATCCTTGGCACAGACCAAAAAAAGAAAAAACATTTTCAAGTTAGGTGACGTTTTTTTCCCACCAAGTAGACAACAAGCCGACAATTCACCCCTCTTGAACTGAGCATGAGAAAATGTTCAGGACCAAAGTACACCAACATCCCATCCCAGAAGAGATTGGACAGCCATTTATCTGGAAAGGGATAGATAGGATCTCCTGTTTGAGGGGGAGGTTGGATTAGAAACCTCCCAAGATCCAACAACTTGTGTTATTCTGAATTGGGGATATCCCGTCTTGCCTTACTTAAATCCTCTTTCCAGAACTGTTGCAGTCTCTTGCTAAGAAAAAAGCAGCTGATTTCTCTTTCTGAAGTTAATAATAACAATAATAATAAAGTTGGAAGGGACCTTGGAGGTCATCTAGTCCAACCCCCTGCTCAGGCAGGAAACCCTATACCCTTTCGGACAAATGGCGGTCCAGTCTCTTCTTAAAAACTTCCAGTGTTGGAGCATTCACTGCTTCTGGAGGCAGGTTGTTTCAAAAAGGCGGAGATGATCTTTAAAAAGCCCTCAAAAAACCATCTCCGCATTCAAACGACGCAGCATGCGTGGATGAATAAAATCCCAAATTTTATTTAAAAGAATAAGGCATTCTCATTTCCAGAAATGGCTCAATGAAACTCTTCATCTTCCTCAGCCTTGGAAACAGAGGGATCTTGTTCCGTTCTGATGGTGCCTTCAAAAAAACAGATCGCCAAGTTTTTAATATTACTGCGCAGATTAATTTAGACGCTGCAAAAACCTGTCCTTGGTCCATCTCATGCTGAGAAAGTAGGAGAGAACGGATGCTATACAATTGCACAAGACAATGGGGTTCTTCCATGATTGGGTCCTATTTTTTTTGTCTTTGGAATGTATAAAGTATTTTATTTTATCAAAAGGTTTTTTTTTTTCCTGATGGCTTCAAACGATTTGTACCATGGGGTTTTCAATAAAAAAAATTTAAATAAAAAAGATTGTCTCATCTTTCATCCTTTCTTGCTGTTTTGATGGACGTCTCTGAAGCCAACTGGTTGACTTTGACCAATCACCAGGAGGCAGGCAGTTCTAGCCCCGCCCTTAGGTATGAAAACTGGCTGGCTGACTCGCTCTCCGCCTAGCCAACCTCGCAGGGTTTTTTTTTTTTAGTCAGGGAAAAAGAGAATGAGACCGAGGAAGGAGCATCACCCCCCTTGCATTTCAAAACAACAAACGTGGAATTAAAAATGTCCCGGATAAATAAATAAGGCGACTCCCCATTGCTCATCAGTGGCGTCCTGGGCTTGGCACTTTTTTCTTTAAAAAAGAAAAGTAGAGACACTCATTGTGCAAGGAAAGAAAGAAGGTGCGTGCTAAATGCATTCATTGCATGCTTCCCCCCCCAAAAAAAAGGGAGGGGGCCCAGACAGACAAGTTTGCCTCTTGCTCCAAAGCAAACAAGCGCAACCAAGCCAGATAGCTCCGGATTTGACTTTTATTGACAAGCCTGTGGTTGGCTGGCTATGCTGGTGACCAAGATGCTTTTGTGTACATTCAGTTGGATGGAAGTTGCTCTCTGAACAGTGTTAGCATTCTGGTTGCCGTAACAACCAGCCTCTCCATTTCCCGGCTGAGGGGGAGCCTCGCAACTGGACCGAGGGACTTGATGCAACAAGAGCCGTGGACCGGCTGAATTTTCACTCTGCTGGGCCCGACAATCTTGTTTCTCCCCTCAAAGGGTCCTGCCAGGCTCAGAAGAGGGGGCGGTCCCCCTTGTTTCTCCCCCAGTCCTTGGCAGGCCCCCTCCTCTCCCGAGTGGTACCTCCCTCAGGGGTTGGGACCCAGGAGCACCTCTCTGGCTTGCACAGGAGACACCTGGAGAGGAGCAGCGGATGGCTGCCGTGGCCGCTCCCACCGGGGCCAAAAATGCCCCCGCCAAGGTGGGCCTACCTCGCCGGCGTAGCGTCAGCCAGATCTGCCCACCGCCCCGGCGCCCTCTGACCCTGGCAGAGCTGCACCCTGGCTGTGAGAACGAACGACTCGGGGTGGCCAGGGAAAGCATGCTGCAGAACCACCTCATCGCCAAGGTGAGCGGACCCGGGCAGGGAGGAAGGAAGGAAAGAAGGAAGGAGATGGGAATGTCTGGGAGGGAGGGAGGGAGGAGGGAAGGAAGGAAGGAGAAAGGAAGAAGGAGCATTAGAAAAAAAGAAGGAAGGAGAGTCATGGGAAGAAGTAAAAAGGAAGGAAGGAAGGAAGGAAGGAAGGAAGGAAGGAAGGAAGGAAAGAGATGGGAATGTGACGGAGGAAGGGAGGGAGGAGGGAAGGAAGGAGAAAGGAAGAAGGAGCATTAGAAAAAAAGGAGAGTCATGGGAAGGAAGGAAGGAAAGAAGGAAGGAGATGGGAAAGTGAGGGAGGGAGAGGGAGGGAGGGAGGAAGGAAGGAGAAAGGAAGAAAGAGCATTAGAAAGAAAAAGAAGGAGGAGAGACTCGTGGGAAGAAGTAAATGGGAAGGAAGGAAGTAAAGCATGTGAGGGAAGGGCGAAGTAAAAGAGGGAGGGAGCAAGGAAAGAAGGAAAAGAGGGAAGGGAGGGAGGAAAGGAAGGAAGGTGAATTAGAAAGGAAAGGGAGAGGAAAGGAAAAGGACTAAGAAAACGGTGGATCTCTGGATGCTGCCGTATCCCCTGACCTCTGTCCAATTTGGCTGAGGCCAATGCGATTTGGAACGGAACGCCCATCGACTCCAAACTACACATTCTCCCAAGTGATCATAATTGTGTTTTTTTTAAGATGCGTGCTCTACGAATTGTAAAGCAGAGCTGGGAGGGGGGGGGACAGAGGCTTATCAGTCAGAGGGGTCTCTGCCCTCCCATGCCCTATAGCCAGCATGGAGGATGATGGGAGGGGTAGTCCCAAGCCTCAAGCGGAGCAAATCAATCCATCAACGCTGCAACCTGCCCGCAGCTCAGGAAAGTTGCCATGAACTGGCAAGGCTTTTTGGCCCAAGATAAAACCCGAACTTTGAACGGTGGGGAAAGGAACGGGTTACCTTGTTTGGACACTAGAGGGCAGCACGGAATGCTACAATCTCCTGCCTGCTGCTGGGAACAGCTGATCCCAACTCTCTCCAGGGCTGTTGGAACTACAACACCCAGAATTCCCAGTAGGATACTCATGGGGACTTCTGGGAACTGTGCTCCCCATGCCTTTGGAAAGCCGAAGAGGGGAGAATGTGTCTTGAAACAGAGAAGGGAAGACGCAGTTTTTGTTTTTTTTGGTTGTGCCAAGTTCTGTAACAATTGTCTTTCATTGAATACTTGGTATTGAAGAACGTTAGTCAATAGTAAAAGCAGTGCAGACTTAAGAAAGAGAAAAGAATAATGAAAAAGGATGAGTAGGTTAACAAAAAGGAAAAAGAAGGAAAAAAGTATAAAGAAGTGACTTTCGATCTTTAGAGCAGTTACACACAAAAAAATTGTCATCTCTTCCTCTTTAAGATTGCACCACAATTCTTCCCATATTTTACCTTTCTAATCATCAAAACTACTATATGTGTAATTGCACGATACACATACAATGGCAGGAATCTGGTTCTTAAAGCAGACTGTACAGGCAGTCCCAAATGTCTGTTGTTAAGTGGGTTTTGCCCCGTTTTAACGACCTTTTTTGCCCTAGCTTTTAAGTGAATCCCTGCGATTAGGAAGTTAGGAAGCCGGTTGTTAAATGAATCTGAGCTTCAGAAGGTCGCACAAGGGGATGACGTGACCCCGGGACGCTGCAACCGTCATAAATACGAGTCAGTTGCTGACCCAATGGGAATTTCTCCCTGGAAAATGTCATGTCTAGAGTGAAAAACAGAATCTCATTTGAGAAATCCTTAAATACATAACAGTATAGTGTGTTGCGCACTTTTCTTTTCTGGCCACAAGAGGGCGGTCTCTCCCCGCTTTTCTTTTTCCAACCGTCTTTACAAGAGAAGCTTTTAGAAGTTGCTTCAGACGGGAGGGGGGAACTTTTTGGGGGGTGGGAACAGCCCCCCCCTTTGGTTTTTGATTGATGGGCCAGGGGCTCCTCTTCTAAAAAGAGAATTGACCCCAGAGAAAAGGCTAGGAGGAGACCATATTTTAATCAACCTTAACAGGGAGATTTGCCTTGTGTTCAGTAATCTCATTTCCTCCTGAGAAATTATAATGTAAGACATCATATTGCACTAATTTAAGAATTATTTTGAACTTCCTGATCTAGTGTATAGTTTTGGAATGGTTTATATTTGAATCTTTCTTTCTTTTTCTTTCTTTTTTCCTTCCTTCTTTCTTTCTCCCTCCCTCTTTCTTTCTCTCTCCCCCTCCCTCCCTCCCTCCCTCCCTCTTTCTTTCTTTCTTTCTTTCTTTCTTTCTTTCTTTCTTTTTCTTTTTGTCTCTAATCTCATCTCCCTTCCTCCTCCCTTCTTTCTTTCTTTCTTTCTTTCTTTCTTTCTTTCTTTCTTTCTTTCTTCTTTCTTTCTCCCTCCCTTTCTTTTTCTCTCCCTCTCTCCTTCTTTCTTTCTTTCTTTCTTTCTTTCTTTCTTTCTTTCTTTCTTTCTTTCTTTCTTTCTTTCTTTCTTCCTTTCCCTTTTGTCTCTAATCTCATTCCCCTCCCCCTCCTTCTCCCTTTCTCCTTCCTTCCTTCCTTCCTTCCTTCCTTCCTTCCTTCCTTCCTTCCTTCCTTCCTTCTGCCATCATTCCCCCAAGAGTTACTTTTTAATTTGCCCTTTTGCTTAACCCACAATATTTCGTTTCCATTCACCAAACAAAAACCAGGGGGCCCCAAGCGCGATCTCTGATGTCATGAATTATTCCCAGCCTGAAGATTTGTGCCCGCACGGCACCCACGCAGAGATTTCAAAATTTGGAGAAGGGCAAACATTTTGACAGATAGCAATGTTTTTGAGGACGGGTTGGCTTCCAAATCCAAATTAATCCATTATTAGAAACAAGAAAGTTATATTATGTCATATGGAAAATTCCATTTCAGATCAGCCAGTAGAAAATTATTAGTTATTATGGACGGCTGCTGTATCCACAAAATTGGGATAGATGACACGAGAGTCCGGTACAAAAATTGATTCCTGCTTTCCTGTGATTTAAACAATTGTTGTGCTTGTGTTGGACAAAAAGGGTGATAAATCAGCAGCTTTGTGCAAAGGTTGTGAAATCTGGGAGTATAAAATCTGTTTATACTCAAAAATCTCCAGAAACTATTAACTGGGTTTGTGCAACATCTTAAAATCCTAAAGTTGAGAGTCGTAAAACTTGATTGCTCTCTTCCCATAATACGCCATGCTAAAGCATAAGATTCTGGGGTTCCTATGTCACCCCACATGCAAAAGTGAACACGGCACTCACAAGTCTCCTTAAGTTGTCTCAGTTCCAACGTAGCCCATCGTAGCTTCTTTGGCACATCTGGATTTGAAGTGAGCATCGTAACTCTCCAGTTTTAAGTGAAATTTCCTGCCCTCTCCTTTCTGGGGGGCGGGTGCGGATGACAGCCTCTCTGATCCCTCTACCAAAAGGGAAAATGAAATAAATAAATATAGAACATAGTCACAGAACATAGAACCATTGGGCTGCAAAGGAGCTTGCAGGTCATCTAGTCCAACCCCCTGCTCAAGCAGGAAATCTTATACTAGTCCGGGCAAATGGCTGTCCAGTCTCTTCTTAAAAGTCTCCAGTGATGGAGCACCCACAACTTCTGGTGGCAAGCTGTTCCACTGGTGGATTGCCCTCACTGTTAGGAAGTTTCTCCTTAATTCCTGGATGTTTCTCCCCTTGATAAGCTTCCATATGGACTGTTGATGCAACCCAGGACTGCATTGGCTGGGGTTTTTTTTTTTTTTTTTTTTGGCAGCCGCAAAAAGCTGTGGTCGTAAGTTGAGAACTACCTGTAATTGTGAGAGGGATCTAGGAGTCCTAGTAAGTGGACAACCACTTAACTAGGCTGGCTCCTATTTAAGTGGTTGTCCACTAGGACTCCTAGATCCTTCTCACAACTGCGGGCTGTCCTCCACGTACCTGCGCAATTGAGTCCAAGATTTGCTAAGTGAGTTTCGCTCCGTTTTACGACACAGTTGTTTAGGATAAGTTGCCTTGGATAAGTTCGTTCACCCCATTGTTAAGTGAAGCTGGCTTCCCCATTGACTTTGCTTGTGCTTGTGGGGTACTTTTGTCTCCTCCCTCCTCCCCAAAAGGCTAAAACCTGGAGGAAAAAAAAGAGAGGGAGAGGTAGGAAGGAGGGGGGGGGAAGTTGAACGGGAGCAAAAGAATAGATGAAGGTCCATCTCTGGGAATCAGAGATCACCGGAGCGGATGAACCCAACGGATAAAATAGTTATTATCAGATTAGCCTTTGGCCCGTGAAAAGAACAGCCAGTCTTCTCGTTAGTTAGCATTTAGATAAGGTTGAAGCCCGGGCATCAATAGGCATCAAAGCTGAAATCCTTTGTGAAAGGATTAATTTCTTTAAGCAACACCACCATCCCGGCTCTCTTCTCATTAGTCGCTTGTTGCGTCCTTGGCGGGAAAACAGACACGAGAAGCAGCTGGAGTTCTCAGGTTCTTTTATTCAGCGTTCAGCTTACAGGAAGATGGCTTCAGCTCAGCCCAAACGCCTCGCAGCCCCTTATATAGGCAACTCCCGGGTAAAGGGGTTACTTTTCCCGCGCCAGCACCCGCGCATGCGCACGGCGCTGGCGACAGCCTGTCTGGTCCCGGGCAGCTTTGCACCTGCCCGGGACTGCCTGCAAACGCCCGAGCCGTTTGCAAAGGCTCGGGACATAACACCCCTTTCCCCCGGGCTAAAACTACTACCAACATACAGCATTTATTTTATATAACATTTTGCTCCCCAGTGCTCCCACTGTTTACTGGCCCTTGCCTTGCCAGCAATGTTATGTAGTCTTCTAGGTACTTGGGAGATTTCTTTGCTCTCTGTGACCTTCTTAGCTGTGGGTTACTGGCATAAGTCCCCTGACTGGAGGGAGGCGTGAGCCTATTCTCTCTATTGTGCCCTGGTGTCTTCCAAGGACTGTGCCCCGATGCCTGGCCTGCTTGCTT